GCGGCTCGCGGCCTTTTTTCCAAGAAAGTAATTTATGAGGTTTTAGAATGTTTTAAGGTATAATTATTATAAATAAAGAGATGCACTTCATTTTAAATTGCATTAAAATGTTAAGCTATCTTTTAAGTTATTTTGAGGCAGAGGACTGTGGAGTGGGGAGGGGAGGGGAAGGGAAGGGGTGGAGCAGCTAGGGTGGGGGGAAGACAGCTGGAGAGAACTGGCTACGTCTTCCCTGTACAATGGGTCCCCCTCCCACCTTGTTGCGTTCTAAACTTTTCATGAAAACTAAATAAAAAGCAGCATATTTTTCAAGTGGATTGCACCTTTGCAGCTTTAATGGGATACAATGGGTGAATGAGCCAGAGGGGTAAGAGCTATTTTCACTGCCATGAAGTGCTTTGATGATGTAATTCTGAACAATGGTGGGTAGAATGGAACTTTCCGAATAAATATTTGTATGTGCTAGTTTGGTTGCGGTATTTTGTACTTTTTTATATATGATTTGCACTCTGGGTCCAAAAAGGTCTGGAAACTTGTATAGCTGTTGACTTGTCATGTTCTTGAGCTGTTGAAATAATCCAAGCTCATTACCCAGTTTTACCCTTGGCACTCATCACATTTTTAGCAATGATGCATTTTGAACTATGCAGACTGAAAGATGAATGTTAATATTATAGCAAAACTACATTTGCATAGTCCAACAAGTATATCCATCCGTTCTGTAAAAAGAAAGCTAACTTCTGTTTGAAAGTGGGTGAGGACAAGCTGCATCTCCCGCCCTCTGAGTAGTAATATAGACCAAGGTTGAACCAGGCATCAGGTTGTTAGGTATCCTTGGGGTTTTTTCCTTCCAGATCCCTGGAATCCACTGACTAGAATTAGATGCAAAATAATGGCCTTGCGGTGGGGGTGGGGTGGAGATCTTCTATACACTTAGAAGTACGGAAGCTAACAATTTCCACTTTTCTCTGTTTCTTACCTCTCCAAACTTTAAGTTGGCTTTGCCGCATTTCTATATCCGTTTGGTTCCCTTCAATTTTGCCATCATTTTAGTGTGCATTTCTCCTAATGTACACGTTTATGTGCAAGTTTGCCCAATGACAGGCAATTTGTATTTCGTTAACCATACAGGGACACGGGTGGCGCTGTGGTCTAAACCACAGAGCCTAGGGCTTGCTGATCAGAAGGTCGGCGGTTCGAATCCCCGTGACGGGGTGAGCTCCCGTTGCTCGGTCCCAGCCTCCTGCCCACCTAGCAGTTCAAAAGCACGTCAAAGTGCAAGTAGATAAATAGGTACCGCTCCGGCAGGAAGGTAAATGGCGTTTCCGTCCACTGCTCTGGTTTGCCAGAAGCGGCTTAGTCATGCTGGCCACATGACCCGGAAGCTGTACGCTGGCTCCCTCGGCCAGTAAAGCAAGATGAGCGCTGCAACCCCAGAGTCGTTCATGACTGGACCTAATGGGCAGGGGTCCCTTTACCTTTTTCTTTAACCAAACAAAAGCTAGGCATACAAATATGGAAAAACATAAAATAGTCTCCTAGGTCTATGTGGGGACTAGACAGTGGGAGTGCAATGTCATTGGTTATATCGGACCTTCCAAGCAGCTTCAATGCCGTTATTCTTCAAGCTTGTGCTGTCTCTGAATAGGGATTTCGGGATTATTGTGCTTTGTGGTTTTTCCAGGACATGTTTCAGAAGGTGGTATTGGCGGGGGCTTGTGATCGATGTCTTGGTCACTGACTTACAGTGTCTTGCAGGGTTCCATTTTATCCCCTAATGCTTTTTAAAAATGTGTACTCCACATCACTGAGTAGAGGCGCCTGGTGTTATGGAGTGGGTGGCTGTCAGGATGTGGATGACGCCAGGCTCTGTCTTCTTTTGTTATCTCATTCTGTGGAGGTTGTGGACGCTCTGAATCTGTTTGCAGTCAGTGATGGACAGGATGACCACACCAGGGATAGAATTGTCAGCCTACTCCAAATTAGGTTGCCCTTAAAATTTCACGTTTGCAGACTGGTAGAGCTCTTAGGTTTCTTCTAGATGCTCACATGGTGATCATAGCTCAAGAGTGCTTTTGTTGTTTCAGCTGCTGTGTCCTTTTCTGGTGTAGTCAGAGCACAATCAGACATGTTATTAGTTAAATCTTGATTGGACTGCTGTAATGCACGCTTTGTGGGGCAGCTCTTGAAGACCACTTGGGAACTTTGGTTAGTACAGAATCCTGCAGCAAGAATCATGACTGGGGCCTAGTCTTGGAAACATGTTACCAGATATATTGGTCATTCCACTATTTTTAGATGCAATTTGCAATGCTAGTTATTACTTCGAAAGCCCTAAACAGCTTGGGAGGACTGCCCACCTGCTCTGCGAATTTACTGTTTTTTAACAGAAGTATTGCTTGTGCCACTACATCCTGAGGCAGAGTTGGTGGCAACGCAGAAGACTGCTTTCTCTGTGACAGCACCGCCTATGTGGATACTGCACCGACAGGTTGGATGAAGTAGAAAGGTCAGTGTTCTACTGCCATCTAAAGGTTTAACTGTTTCAGCAGAACCGGGTCTTCTGCTGGTGAGTTTGGGATTGTCATTCTGGCTCTTTGCTGTTGTGGCATTGTGTGTTGTTTTGCTGTTCTTTTACTTGATAATAGGATTGGGGTTGTTTTTGTCAATTTGATTTGTCTCATTACCACAGGTAATGCTGCTACCTTTGTTTTTAACTATTGTCATTTTTACGAGTGTTATCAGAGACTATAAATGCAGTCAGGATTGTATAAGCAACCCAAACAAGTTGCAGTATTTGGGGGTGGAAGAAGAGCCTTGCAATCATGTCGGCACTTCCTCTGCGGTACTGGGAAGGGATCCAGGGCTGCATCTTATGTGTTGTAACTGCTGGACTTGACTCTCATTTGCTTTGCTCCTATCCTCCTTTGGTGCACCTTCAATAATTTAAAAGTTTATTCACTATTCTGCTTTCTCTCTGGGGAGAGAGCGAGAGAGGTGGGCATGAACAGTGTCTCTTACAGGGATCCCGGAGAAAACATCCATGGATCTTGCTGGAGGGCATGCAAGTGCTTCCAGGTGAGTCAAGCCCCGAAACCAGTTCTCCAGGAAAGCCCAAAAACATTTAAATGCTTGTGTATGGAAATCTGCGGTGACACGGGTGGCACTGTGGTCTAAACCACTGAGCCTCTTGGGCTTGCTGATCAGAAGGTCGGCGGTTCAAATCCGAGACGGGGTGAGCTCCCGTTGCTCGGTCCCAGCTCCTGCCAACCTAGCAGTTCAAAAGCACGCCAAAAGTGCAAGTAGTTAAATAGGTACTGCTCCGGTGGGAAGGTAAATGGCATTTCCGTGCACTGCTCTGGTTTCACCAGAAGCAGCTAAGTCATGCTGGCCACAACTGGGGGAAACTGTCTGTGGACAAATGCCAGTTCCCTCGGCCTGTAAAGCGAGACGGGCGCCGCAACCCTAGAGTCGTCTGCGACTGGACTTAACTTTCAGGGGTCCTTTACCTTTACCTTTTTATGGAAATCTGAACTTGGCATCTCCTTCCCTCTCCCCAGCAGTAAAAACAAAGTGTAGATGTGTGTGAATGGACTGTTTGAAATGCTAGATCACAGGTCACCAACTATTTTGAACCCATGAGCAGTAGTTCCATGTATGAAACTGGGCATGTGTATTCAGGTGAGATTTTCTGAAAGGAGGAAACAAGTCTGTCACTGCGACATTTTAAAGAGGGACAGAATACTTCTTGTTTAGATCTCACTACAAAGAACTATAACCAGCACAGCCATACCATGTCCATGCAGAGGAATCCCTTTGTTGAGGCCTGTTAAATAACTCTGTGTAAGAAATGCCTTGCTATATTTCTAAGGCTGGAGATGGGTAATTAAGCTGGTTTTAACCTTTAAAGCCCTATATGGCCTAGGACCCTCGTACCTACGGGACCGCCTCTCCTGGTATGCCCCACAGAGAAACTTACGGTCTTCAAATAAAAACATCTTGAAGGTCCCAGGCCACAGAGAAGTTAGGCTAGCCTCAACTAGAGCCAGGGCTTTTTCGGCTGTGGCTCCGATCTGGTGGAACACTCTGTCACAAGAGACCAGGGCCCTGCGGGACTTGACATCTTTCCGCAGGGCCTGCAAGACAGAGCTGTTCCACCAGGCCTTTGGCCAGGGCACAGCCTGACTCCCTCCCTCGGCAATCTTCACGGAGCTCTGGCCCAATGGTTGCCAGTGGCTTGAATTAATTAATTTTTATAATGAATGATTTTAGAATGTTGTTTATGTTGTACTTTTGTACTGTTTTATTGTTGTTAGCCGCCCTGAGCCCGGCTTCGGCTGGGGAGGGCGGGATATAAATAAAATTTATTATTATTATTATTATTATTGAAATAAGAGACTGAAACTCCCACCTTCTTTATAGCCACTCATCTTCTCTTGTGTTGAGTTCAAGTACTGGACCAATGCTCCCTCTGTATTTCTTTGCTCAAGATCTACTTGGTGTAAAGCATTGGCCAACAGAATACCTTACCTCATATTTTAGCTTGTTCTGATAAAAACCACACACACACACACACACACACACACACACACACTCTTATGTAAAAACGTATGTTTTTCTTAAAGCATGGTTTAAGGCAAGCCTTATCATCTCAACAGCTTCCTGTTAAGACCATTAGCAACCCCCCTAGTCCAGAAAGTAGTCAACTCTATATGTGTCACAAAGGACCTGTCCTTTACTGGTGGGATTTGGTGATAGAAGTCTTGACATCTAGTGCTGCGGCAAGATATAGAATTGGCGAGAGAGAAATTGTGTGTGTCTTGTTAAGTAGTTCAGGGCTCAATGCAAAGATGACATAGTCTGTTTGAAAGGCTCGCTCTAATTCAACTATTAGCTAATTGAAGCGCTATTAGTAGTCTGGTACTGTGTGTAGAACTTTGTACAATTACACATTTACTTGCATAAATCAGGTACAGCTGATAACATAAAAAACTAACATATAAACACTGAACATGTTTTATTTTCTACGTAGATGAAAACATCCAGTTGAAAATAATTAAAATATATATTCTGTTACAAACACTTGATAAGAGTTTGATATCATGCTATATATATAGTACAAGGTTAAGTTTCGGTATGGCATTCTTGTTTCGTGTACACAATGCAATGCACACCCTTTCCCCTATTCAATGGCAAAAAACCACACTCCCAAAATGCATGAAGGTCGCTAAAATATTTGTATAAAACATTTTAAAACCAACTGTAGGTTATATAAAATGAGTTGAACTATAAGATAGTTGTTCTTCCAGTTGACGGCGAAAAATAACCACATGCATGCAAGATTGGGGTTTTCTCCATATTCAAATCTATTTTTTAATATTATCTATCATGGAGTGGAATAAGCCACACTTATTAGAATACACATTGTATTTTACAGTGTCTCTCCTCCACATGCTAGTTTGTTTTAACAGCATTCAGAATTGCCACGTTAGAAGCAAAAAGTTTGTCCAAGTATTGCTGATTAAAAAGTATGGATAAATTTGGTAATTTTTTGAGTATGCGTAAATTTCACTTAGCTAATAACTGCAGAAAAAATGTGCGGGGGTCTCACAGACTGCAGCCACCAACATAAATGCCAAGTATTTGCTATCACATTACCCATGTCATGCATCTATTTTTCATTAAAATTAATTTCATAAATATATTGCAGCCCTTGCAGCTCAATTCCAAACATCTGCAAGAGCTGTGTGGCACAGTTCCAAAGCCATTCTGGGCTGGTATAATGGTTTGTTCACTTAATAGAGGGAACTATTTAGCAGACACAACAAATATTAACATCAGGCTGTTCATAAAATACAACACACCTCTGAAGTGAACTCATTTAAATCTGGAAATTGTTTTGAGACTTTGCGGTACTTTTTGCTAAACCTGAGTAATACTAGTATACCAGCAAGCAAGGCATTTTCAAATGAGTAATGTGTAAAAATACTTTCTTTAACTAGACACATTTGATATAAAAAAGGCAATAAGAAATATAAAATCTACCTTCCTTTTTGGACTACATCTTCTCTATCATCACTTGTACTATTACATACAGTACATTCCATTTCCTACACAGCAAATGTACACAATTGTCCCTGATATGATATTGGCAGACAGCAAAATGTTTTACTATCAGCACTTCTTGTAGCTTATAGAAACAGCACCAAAGTGTATAACACACACACACACATCCATGTGCAGTTCAACTTCTTTGTTAAAATTGTCATTTTTTTCCACTTTAAAAGAAGCTGAGGGCAAGATAGAAATTCAGAACAAAAATGTCACCACACCGTTTTTCCAGAAATCTTCCCAGAACAAAATGGCTCAGCACGACATGATGAAAATCCAAAATATTGCATAGTACAGGGACATTCCCCTGCGTGAATCCACCTGTCCTTTGATTGTTTCTTATCCCTCCAGAAATGGAAAGCAAAGCAGACAGGTGTTAAGTCAATAACAGCAAGAAGACACATTCACTTTCATCCAGCAAGGGTGATCCACATGCAGCAAAAGGTGCTTTGTGGAGTTCAGACCCGTGCGTCTAATACTAGAGCTGCGTGCAGAAATACTTGCTGGATTTCACAGAACCTAACAGACTTCAGTGCAGTCAGGCCTGAAAGCATGAAATCATCTGAGATTTGGAGTGATAGAGGAAATGGATATAGGCCCCTTTCTTCCCCTCCCCACCCTGTCCTCCAGCAAGAAGCCTGTAGTTGAATGGGTGTCAAGAAATGATCATAGTGCTCAGCAGAGTGTTCACAAAGCCTCATACTGCGCATAACAATCTGTAAACAGAGGCCAAAATGGATTGTGCATGTTTTTCTTGTTTTTACTGGTAAAACTTTTATCTCTACAGTTTGTCATCTGTCACAGTGCAAAAGTACCTTTTAAAAGACTTTCTAAAAAAATGAACACTATGTACAGCACAGACGCATGTATCGTACTCACACACAAATATACAAGCGCATGAACGTTTTATGTTCATGTTAAGCTCCACAGAGACGGAATGATTCAAAATGATAGGTGGCACAGGTTCCAGTGAGCGAGGAGGAAATTTGTTCACTCACCTGGAAAAGTTGGCTGTTCAAATCAGCCACGAGAACTTCCTTCTCAAAAAAAGAAAAAGAAATACTGCCAGCTTAAATTGTCAACACTACAAAAATTCCCCTCATAATTTAAAACTCTTTACAAAAGCTTTCTTTTGTTTTTAAACACACAGCGCGCACACATACAGAACATTTCATATGGCTATTCCCTTTGTGGAAACCTATGTAGCATAATCTGAATATTGATCTCCTGGAGTATCAGGATGTTAACTGAGAAATGAACTCATTGCAGACATTAATACCTTTTCCCGTTTAGCATTATTAATTCAGTCACCTTTGCAAAACAAGGAATGTTAAGATCCTGATAGCATATTTTAATTCCTTTGGAAATTCAGCTGTTTTGGTTCTGAATGAAAATGCACCAGCTGAAGCCAAATGGTTGCAAATATATTTAGAACGTCCCATGTAAATACCCATGGCACTGCCTTTCCCTGCACCTTGAAAGTTTTGTAAATACAAAAATGTAACTACTTTCTCTTGACAACAAATTTCATATTGTGGGGAAGAAACTTCTGGAAACCAGTGACAGTTCAGGACTGCACGGTGAATGGAACACTGGACACGATCTGCTGGAAACTTGTTTTGCTGAAGTGAATGGACCATCTCCCGTCCATTTCTAAGATGCTCAGTCAGGCAAAGGTATTGTGCCTTCCCCCATCTTGATGAACCTGAGAGGTTGTCCAATAAACATGTGACATTATAGTTGTGCATCAGTTGCCTAGTATTTCCCTTGCTTAAGTCTCTCGATGTGGTAGCACAGCTTTAGTGCAGGCCCCAACTTCAGTCCCATGTATTTCATTATCATATCACTCCTCAGTAGCAAGAGAGCCTTTCCATCAATTTCCTGTGGAAAGAGCACACAATAAGGATTAACCACCTGGTAATATCTTGGCCTAGAATCCTTGAAAAGGAAAGAAAAAATAGTACTAGGCTTGCATGAAACAATGTGCATCTGCGTGTAATAAGCTCAACAAGATACAGGAGGTTGTAGAGTACAGCCATGGGGAAACATCATAAAGAGAATGATAAATTATGATCTGGGGCAGTCTTTGCCAACCTTGCGCCCTCCAGAACACCTGTGCTGGCAGGGACTGATGGGAGCTGTAATCCCAATCATCTGGAGGGCACAAGGTTGGTAAAGGCTGACCTAGGGTCTTTGTCACGTCTGTGAATGGAAGGAGCCCTTCTATTTGTGAAGCTTAATTAGGATACCAAGGGACGTGGGTGGCGCTGTGGTCTAAACCACTGGGCCTCTTGGGCTTGCCAATCAGAAGGTTGGCGATTCGAATCCATGCAGTGGGATGAGCTCCCGTTGCTCGGTCCCTGCTACTGCCAACCTAGCAGTTCAAAAGCACACCAAAAGTGCAAGTAGTTAAATAGGCATCGCTCTGGTGGGAAGGTAAAAGGCATTTCCGTGCACTGCTCTGGTCTCGGTGTTCCGTTGCACCAGAAGCGGCTTATGTCATGCTGGCCACATGGCCCGGAAAAACTGCGGATAAACGCCGGCTCCCTCGGCCTGTAAAGCGAGATGAGCGCTGCAACCCCAGTCGTCTACAACTGGACTTAACTGTCAGGGGTCCTTTACCTTTAATTAGGATACCAGTCCTTTTTACAGCAAAGTATTTGTAGACATAGCTTTTTTTAAAGCTATTCTGAAGAATATTGCCAAAATACTTCCGAATGTAAATGCACTATTTGTGTTAAATTATTTTATATAGCAGAAACCCTGCCAAGCAAAAGAAATGGCTTTTCACTGAATTTTGGCCACAGAAAATTCTAAATTATTGGAAGGGAAATAATTTATTTGTATGCTGCCTTTCCAGAGTTCATGCTCAAGGCAGTTTACAACATGGAAAAAAAAACCTCAACCACAACTCAACAAAAGTAGTCAACAATAATAAATAAAACATTAAAATATACAAAACCAAACTAAACCATTTCCGAATAAATCACAACATGATCTAAAATAAAAGATACAAAAAACCAGCTTCAACAACCCCAAGGCCTAAGAGTCTGTTCAGCAGCCTCATCTTTTCGTAGTGGGAGTCAGTCAGCTATAGCCTCAAACTGGGAACCAATTTCAATTTGAGCTAGGAAATGATTTTAAGACCTTTAAATGTGTCCTACCAAAAATGCCTACTTGGATGGTGTATGCTTTTAACAATATAAATTTTATGAAATAAAAGTTTTGTTGGGACTAGAAAGGACTGGAAAGTTATTGCCTGACAAAATAAAAACAAAATGCAGAGATTATGTAGTCTCAAGAGGGCTGCCAGAGAATTACACAATAACGGGTCATGCTTCACAGGCTAATAGAGACGACTTCTACTTTGAGAAATAACAAGCATTTGTAGTGAAGAACCCAACAGAGAATGTGATTCATCACAATGGATGGCTTTAAGTGAGCTTGCTATAGGTTTGTTGTTGCTTTTTGTTTGTTTTTAAAAAGCAAAATGGTTTGTGTCCCTGGAAAAACCCCCACAATCTCTCAAAGGTTGTGCCCAAGTTTTTTTACTCTCATGTAGTACAATAGACTGGGATGTGGGTGGCGCTGTGGGTTAAACCACAGAGCCTAGGACTTGCCGATCAGAAGGTTGGCGGTTTGAATCCCCGCGACAGGGTGAGCTCCCATTGCTTGGTCCCTGCTCCTGCCAACCTAGCAGTTCAAAAGCACGTCAAAGTGGAAGTCGATAAATAGGTACCGCTCCGGCAGGAAGGTAAACGGCATTTCCATGTGCTGCTCTGGTTTGTGCGCTGCTGGCCACATGACCCGGAAGCGGTACGCCAGCTCCCTCGGCCAATAAAGCGAGATGAGCGCCGCAACCCCAGAGTCGGTCACGACTGGACCTAATGGTCAGGGATCCTTTAGTACAATAGATTAAATGTTGTAATATAAGCAAACAGCCTCCTTACGTGTCTTCTGAAGAGTTCTGCATGAGGCGCTAATGCCTGAGGATCAGCTTCTTTCACGAATCGCATGACTTCATCTATCGACCACATAGAAGGATCCTTACTGGGTACGCGGGAGGGTTCTCGTTTTAGCGTGCTGAGGTCGGGTCCTGTTGTGGAGCTTGCAGCTTAAATATTAAAAAAATCAAGAAACTGAGGAAGGTGGAAATGCCATTTGTATAACCAGCTCATTTTGGACACACAACACCAAGTTCTTGGGCTTCCATTTATAAATAAGAGGGGGCAAATTACCACATGGTGTTCCTTCCCTGCCATTCCTTGTGAGTGCCTCTCCATATAAGAAGGATTATATTTAATAATAATCTGTAAATACTTAGTGCTTTTTATTAATATTCATGCTGTGGTTAAATATATACCTGACAGCATTACTGGTTAATTAAGAAGGGTGGTAAGAGGGAAAATACCATATGGTGACATTTTATATCTATAAAAGATCACATATGTTTGCTCTTAAGGCTCCACTACACTTGATGTTCTGCCTACAGAAAAGAGAAGAGTGAACTGGTATATTTGTGAAATGCAACAATTAGCTCCTCTGGCCAGACTTTCATAGGTTAGGAAGGCCTGAATAATACAGATTACACCACACTATATTTAAGGTACAGCAGGTTCAAGAATAGAAGTGACAACTGAGAATTAACTACCTACCAACTTCTGAGATTTCAAGGAGAGTTGAGGAAATACCTAAAACACTGTTAAGGAAGACAGGAATCTTCAAGCATGATTTTTCCCTACATTTCAGAAATGGCTCTTCAGCGACCTACAACCAGCCATTCCCTTATAAACTCAGGAGGGAGGACATTACAACATGAGGAATCTCTACAGAGCAAGATTGGGTGGCTAACTTGATTTCCGGCATGTCTGATAACTTTGCAAGTTTTGACTTTTTTTTCAAATCCTTGCATATCAAAGCATGTTCAGAACCAGCTTTATAAACTAGTTTTTGTTCAACAAGGCAAAAAAAAAAGCAGTAATATATGAGTTTATATATTGTTAAGAAGACAGAACAGAGCATGAACTTTTAAACAACTAGACTGTACCTTCAATCCTCCTCTGCAGCCTGTTCCTGTTGACTTCATAGTAACTGCTGTTCGCAGCAGAACTTGACGACAATCTCCGTAGAATTGGTGCTGTGTTTGAGGTAGCAGTCACTGGCGGAAGAGAATTCCTGTAATAGGCTGCACTCCCTGAGGTTCGATATTCAGTGGAATTCCGGCAGTTAGGGCTTGCGGGATTGACTAAATTAAGTGCAGAATCCATTGAGTCCTCTGAAAATCTGTGTTCTTTGGAAGTGCCATTTTCTTCACTTGGCAAGGTTTCCGCTGTATAAAGTAATTTAACATAAATAATGCATTTACATTAGGAAGTATTATGGCAATATCCTTGAGAATAGGGTGGTTTGGGTTTTTGTTTTTTGTTTTGATAAAAAGAGCTATGTCTACAAATACTTTGCTGTAAAAAGGGCTGGTATTCTAATTAGGGCTCCCTCCATTCAAAGACACGAACAAGACAGCATTTTCCCCATCTGCACTGATGCTGTTTAGTGCCAGTGCACCATCTCTCCCCAGATTATAGTGGAAAAGACACAGAAGAGGAACTGTGCCTATATGGTAACTAGATTCCCCATAAAAAATACACAAACAAGGGTGATTTCAGAGAAAAGGGCTCCTGTAGAAGTGGCAGTAATCCCAGATGTGTATGGATTTGGGGTGTAATTTACGAATTGGTGAGTAAGGAAACTGCTTATACACATTCATTTCTCCAGTTTTCATTAGAATCAACGTGCAGTTTGTTTTGCCTGTCCTAGAACAATATATGTAGACGTAAACCCACTGAAATCAGTGAGCCACACCGTATAGTGCAGTCCTGAGGAAGTAGCCTAGTGTGTTATTTGTGTGTTGAATATTTCCCTCTATCCTTCCAAGCTGGGTGTGCCGGCCACAGAATCTAGCACAAGCCTGGACTGCATGAGAAAACAAGAAGAGTCCCTTCTGGACCAGGCCAGTCACCCATCTAGTCCAGCATGCTGCAGTCACAGTGACCAGATGCCCATGGGAAGCTTGCAAGGAGGACCCGAGCGCAACAGCCTCTGACAACGGAGGTGAAACATAGCCATCATGGCTAGGAGCTACTTATCCTCCTATTCATGTGGGTTTTTGTGTGCTCTTGGGCTAGACTGCCTAGAAATGCAGTGCTTCTTTTGTAAAGAAATATAACAATAGTTACCTTCTGAGGGATGAGCTTCAGTCCTTGGTAGTTTAGGAGACAGGGGGGCAGTATAGGAGGGCGAATCCTGAGAATATCGCTTTGTACTTCTGTTGTCAGAGATTTCCTCTTTTGCTGGGAGAGGGGGAAAAGGATTCACTTTAAAAAAACAACAACCACCCACTTCTAATTTCCTCATGTAGTCCCTGCATTTCCTTTGAGGAAATGCTTTGGGCTGGTTCCTGTAGAAAAAACACCTATGGGAACCCTTGTGGGTTTTTCTACATTGCATGGATCTGTGAATATCTTGCTCATAAATCTTTCTATGCAAAAATGTATGCCAATCTTCCATTCTGGTGTAACCACTTCCCTGTATGTGCTCCTATGCAGAAATCGTTCCAAAGTGCTGTCATTGGAGAAAACAGTTACGATGATACCATTTGGTATTCATGAAGGGCTCTTTTCCCATGCATGTGCTGATAACATTACAGTGGTACCCCGCAAGACGAACGCCTCGCAAGACGGAAAACCCGCTAGACGAAAGGGTTTTCCGTTTTGGAGGCGCTTCGCAAAACGAATTTCCCTATGGGCTTGCTTCGCAAGACGAAAGCCCATAGGGAAATCTCCGGGACACTGTCCTCGGACCTCCTCCCGCCGCCCGGCATCGGAACGAAGCTCCGATGCCGGGCGGCGGGGCGGGGACACCTTCTCCCGCCGCCCGGCTTCGGATGGCTTTCCTGAAGACTTGGGGTGGGAGGAGGGTTTTCCTTCCCACCGCCAACATTCAGAATGCTGTTCTGAATGTTGGCGGTGGGGAGGAAAGACCCTCCTCCCACGCAAGCCCCGGGAACAGAGGGAAAGCGCTGCGCGCCTTCCCCTCTGTTCCCGTACCTGTCCTGAAGGCTTGCGGTGGGGAGAAAAGCCCTTCTCCGCACCGCCAGCCTGGCAAGCGGTTTCCCTAGGAACGCATTAATTGATTTTCAATGCATTCCTATGGGAAACCGTGCTTCGCAAGACAAAAAACTCGCAAGAAGAAAAAACTTGCGGAACGAATTAATTTCGTCTTGCGAGGCACCACTGTAGGTGTAAAGTTTATCTCCCGCCAGTAGCTGAAGGCAGAAATCCCTGTTCAGCTTTGTAGCTTTTGGTGTTCCCTTGTGTTCTCAGATCAGTTCTCTAACGGAAAACCATTAGAAAGACCAAGCTCTAGGAAGTTGATAGGGCGCTTTCAGAGATCCAAGATGGTAACTGTCCAGAGAGGGTCTCCAGGAGGAGCTTCTTTCTGAAGATTTGACTCCTGAAGCTACCAGCGAAGAGGCAGATGAACTGACCTGGGCAGATGCACCTGATCTCTGAAATGGGTCCACTGAAGAGGTCAGGTGTGATGCCATGCCTAAGGGGTGACTTAGTTCATCAAGACCATAAGCCCCAAAAGGTTTGCTAGGATTTTGGTGCAAGGAGGTAAAACCAAAACAGAGAACAACTTGACCATGACAGAGGAAGGTGAAATATAGAGCAGAAACCAAAGGGCCCTCTCTCTTTTTAAGTTCAGAGGTATAGGAAAAAGCTGAGGCAAATGGAGAGCAGGGGAAAAAAGTTAGCAATGAGCTGACCAAGGGGCAGGAAAAGAGTGAAGGATAAGATACAACTGAGGTAAAAAAATTTTTAAAAAACACTACTGGAGGAAAAGACTAGAGGTACTAAACAGACACACAAACTATAAAACAAAAGCAAGAATATATACAGTAATACGCCGGAAGCAAAAATCATGGAGAGAGCATGCATGCCATGAACACACTTGGTAAAGACAGAGTGTGGCTGATCTGAGAACAGAAGAAGCTTCTAAAAATATGAACAGTGATTTCTGCCTTCAGTCATTAGGGGGAGCTGAACTCCCCACCTGATGTCACCCGTAAGCAGGGGAAAAGAAGGTGCATTCTTCACTGAAAAAGGAACACAGTATATCACAGAGGGACTGCAGTCAATTTGCTCATTGCAGCATGCAGCAATTGACATAATAAGCAATGATTAAAATGTGCATACTTAACCATCTGTGCATCTTTTTTTTAATGGCCATGGCAGATGCCAAACTACAATTTCTCAAAAATATTGAAAGCACAGCCTTCAACTATTTCAGCTCCTGAAAATTGTGGGTACAGAAATAATAATCTTGGAAGGGTATCATGTGACAAAGAGAGTGAGCCAGGAAATCTGACCACTTCCCATCTCTCCCCAGTCATGCGCATCCTCAGTGGCCTTAGGCTTTCAGCTACATTTCTCTCAGCCCCTTGTTTCATATACATAATTCATACAGGGATAACGAACCTTTCATAGGACAGCTGATGAGTTACTGCAATAACACATTTGGCATGCATGATGGAAATGCTGTTTGAGCATCTTTTTAGGAAGTAACTCAGCTTTTTTAATCACTATTGTCTAACAGAAAACCTTCTGAAAAGGCAGTTTTAGAAAATTAAGTAATAATGTAATGCCTAGAGACAACTGTGAAACTGGGTAGATTCAAACTCGCAATTAATATCTGAACGTGGCTATCCGAGGAAGCAATATACCGGCATATAATCTCATGTTCACACAGCAATCCTATGTATGGCTATCCAAAAGTTAAGTTCTACTGAGTTCAATGGGACTTAGGTACTCCCAGGTAAGTACACAACATATATGGATTGCAACCACAGTCAATTTCTAATAAGTGCAATAAATAAATAATATCCCTTTATAAATCTGATGGAGGGGGGGAGGGAGACAAAAACCAAAATTATTTAATCCACACCAAAAATCCAGCAGCATAAATATGAGGTTTGATGGCGAGGAGTGTCAAATTTTCAAATGCTTATCAAAATCAGTTTGCTTTCTTTCTGCAACGGCCAATGACCAGGATGATGCCTGAGCAGCAACTGGTGTGAAATCAGCCCTACACAAGGCACAAGGGAGTATTCTGCCTTTCTTTATAAGTGTCTATTGCTGTATATGTCAAAATCTAGGAACAAGCTAAGACACTAAAACCTATTTTTAAAATCAAGAATCCTAAGTTCTTATTCCACGCTACACCAGAGAGGTTTACTTTTAAGACTTAAGGTTGTAAAATCCATTGAATTTATCAGTGCTTGCTTATGATTATGCACACATAGTATCAGGCAGCAAAGAAAAACAACACATCTTAAGCACAAGACTTAAAATGGCTCACACTAGATCAGTTTACACTGATATTCACAAATATAAATCCAACTGTGTTTTTTAAATAACACCATGACTTCTAAAAATGAGGGTGGGTTAGGGGGGGCGGGGGGCATTACCTGGTTTGTTTCTATCATATTCGGTGGGGCTGTATGCACTTCCCATGTAAGGGCTGAAGGGCTGGCTGCTGAAAAGGTTATCGCACTGCAGGCTGTGGCAGAGCTTCTCCAAGAAGCGCAGGACAAACGAGGCACTGTTTACAGAAGGAAGACTGATGGCGTGCTTCTCCCCATCAAAGGAGGCTATAGGGTAAAAAGAAGACCTCAAATCACGGCAGGGTTGATTGAAACACCAGTACCTACAGCAGAATACCCCCGGTTTGACAGAAACAAAGGGGGTAAAAGAAGGCCAAACATTTTGCCACGCTTGTGTTGTCTTTGCCAATTTCAATACCAAAGCTTGAACGTTTGTCCCTTGGCTAATCCGGAGTAACTGTGGTTAAACTACCCTTTAAATAAAGGCAGCGCCGTAGTCTGATACAAGTTTTGTTATATGGCTGTAGATTTATCATCAAAGGCCTGGCTCCCATATCACACTGAACCATAGCAAAACAAATCAAGGTTTTCATGTGAATGAAAGGCTGCTCAAAAGTTCCCAAAACAATTCTTCCCTGCTACGCCACCGATGAAAAAAATTAATCTAGCTTGAGTCATGAGAACGTAGGCTTGTGGTTTTCTCTTGGCTTACTGCCTGTGGTTTGTTTGGAGGAAACAAACGGTGAGCCAGAGGGTGAAACAACCCGACTAGCCAGACACCGGCTTTGCTTAAGTCTGTGGCTCAGCAGCAGCAGCATGGGAACTTTTGAGCAGCATGTACCTGCACATGGTTTAATATGACACGTGAACTGGGCTGGTGTCTCGGATGCAGGTAGCTTGTAAGGGGAAACTTTTGGTCCTCCTTGACCCCTTCTCAAAACGAGTGGGACTTGGGCTACCTGTAATCATCAGAGTAGCAACTGTTCTGCTGACTGCTGGTACTGTCCCTGTTTTGTATTTTGCTTAAATCAAGGACAACAGCAAACGCTGCAGAGCTGAAACTTCTGCTTTGTTTTATGTTTGGAAATAGCTGGACAGTTGTTTTCTTAACCTAGAGAGACCCCGCAATGGCAAAATTTGAGGCTGCTGTACTGCTACAACTCTGGCTGCAATCCCAGCCCACCTGACCTGAAAGTAAGCCCCAAATAATTCAATAGGAATTATCTCTGAATAAAATGCCTGTGATCTCTGAGTAAAAATGCCTGACAAATGGCATTCCTTGCATTTTATAAGACACTTTAAAAGTTACTTTATATATATGTTGCTTTGTATTCATAAATACCAAGGGCTCATTAATTTACACCAACAGTTGAAGTCTTCTATAACTTCTTGCATCCCATAAAGCTATAAACATCCTGTGTACAATAAATGGGGTCTTACAAATGAAGCTGATATCTAACTGTTAAATCTATGCCAGTAGACTGACATTTCCTTTTGCGTACAGAAGATGTTCACAGTATGCACATCACAAGTTATACTGCAGGAAATGAAGGTTTAGGCATAGCGTAGTTCGCTGTCCTCATCTGGCATTAATACAGGGAGAATAAAGTAAGGCAAACACTTTTTAATGCCATATGAATTAAGGCTAACTTGTGTCCTGAAGATTGCTTCTGCCAGGAGAAAAGTGACAAGCAGCAGCCTCTAATTTAGAACTGGAGAAATATTTAAACAACACATCTGCTCTCAGGACAGTGAGGGAATAAAGATGCTATCCCTTCCACACTTCTAAAATATAATTATAGGAAAAGAATAGCAGCAACAGCATCTCAGTTAAAAATCCATTTAGTGGGAACTCTAAACTGAGTAGCTCGGAACACTACATGTAAAAAAGAAAAAAGCACAAGGTCTTTTACTCTTTGCTCTTTTACTAGAAAACAACAGCATAAACATTGTTTCCATTTAAAAAAAATGTTTAGATAATGTAAGCATAAAGAAACCTAGTTCTACCTTATTTACCGCGGGATCAAATAAATAAAATGAAGTGCGTCATTTACACAATTGTGCCACACTAATCTTTGGTCTTGATTTTGCACCAAACTGAAACTGAATCACATTTTACTAGTAAGTTAAGAAAACCTGCTACTATTGCTCATTCATTTGCTGGATTCTACCCAAGTATGCTTTGCCATTATCAAACATGTTTCACAGCCTCCTGGTTTGTTTTATTAGTTCTGCTGCTGTTTTTTATTATACTGCTTTATTACGTTCCGTTTTTATTGACATTTGATTGTATTTAACGGTTAGCTTCTTTGAGACTTTGCAAAAAGAAGGGATATAAATCCATTTATATATAAAAATGAAACCAATAAAATACCAGTGATGATCTCTCCGGCATGGTGCCCCGACTTCAGGAATCCAAAGACTGTTTTGGATTGATAGGCGCAGTCCACACAGGCTTGCACAGCCTGCTGAAGCACGACATTCACAGGACCCGGTCCAAAGTGATCAGGAAGCTGCTGAACCTTCTTTTTCTCCAGATGAGGCCCAGAGTTTCCGTGTTTGTTAACATAGACACAAACTAAGAGAAAAAAGGAGGGGTGTCAATATTTGTTTTTTTTAAAAAAGAAGAATTTGCAAACAATGCATTCCAGACCAAATGATATTTCATAAAGTTTTCATTGAGAATGGACTGGATGAACATCTTCTATACATTTCATCTATTTCAAAAGCTTGCAAATAGCCAAACTGTAATTAGATGATGAACAGAGGAGCTGATGCTCTGCATGTAAAAACTAGGTAAAGGATCCCTAGACAGTTAGGTCCAGTCAAAGGCGACTACGGGGTTGTGGCACTCATCTCACTTTCAGGCCGAGGGAGCCGGCGTTTGTCCACAGACAGCTTTCTGGGTCATGTGGCCAGCATGACTAAACTGCTACTGGCGCAACGAGACACTGACGGAAACCAGAGTGCACGGAAATGGTGTTTACCTTCCCGTCACAGCGGTACCTATTGATCTACTTGCACTGGTGTGCTTTTGAACTGCTAGGTTGGCAGGAGCTGGGACAGAGCAACGGGAGCTCACCCTGTTGCAGGGATTCGAACCGCCGACCTTCTGATCAGCAAGCCCAAGAGGCTCAGTGGTTTAGACCACTGTGCCACCCATATCCTTTATGTAAAATCTACCCACACTAAACAAACTACCGTATTTTTCGCTCTATAACACACACCCCACCATAACACGCACGTAGTTTTTAGAGGAAAATCCGTAGGCATGCCACTCGTAGGCATTCCCTCCATAACACGCACAGACATTTCCCCTTACTTTTTAGGAGGAAAAAAGTGAGTGTTACGGTGCAAAAAATACGGTACTTCCATATGCTTTATTTAACCTCCAACTCCAACAGGTAGTGGTGAAACCACAAATGTCCATGCACTTGCCACATCTAGACAAGCCTAACTGACTTTGCCAAATTATATACCCACATTCCTTGCTTTTTCCTGTTATCCTCCGGAACTACAGAGCTAACAAATATGCCTTTAGGAGCAAATGCTGCTCCTTCCCTTCTATATTTTGTCTATATTTTGTAATAAGCCCAGATCAAGGTACTCTTCCCATACTTGGATAGGGAACGTTGGCTACAAGTGTCTTGGTAAAGTCACACTGAATATGTGGCAGGAAATTAATGTGTTCATGGTACGAAAATCTTCAACATATGCATTTGAAAATATAGTTCATTGATGTTGATGAGATGTAACTGCCACATGCCCATGATACATGAAATGAGAGAAAAACAGAAACAGAAGATAAGAGGAATACAGTGGTACCTTGGTTTATGAACTTAATCCGTTCCGGAAGTCTGTTCTTAAACCAAGGCGTGCTTTCCCATAGCAGCGGGGGACTCGATTTACAAATGGAACACAATCAACAGGAAGTGGAACATGTTCTGCTTCCAAGGCAAAGTTCACAAACCAAAACACCTACTTCCGGGTTTGCAGTGTTCTTAATCCAAGTTGTTCATAAACTAAGCTGTTCTTAAACCAAGGTACCACTGTAGTAAAAATGAGAGGTAGGGTATAGGCAGCAGGAAAACAGAAGGTCAGAATTAAGGCAAGGAAAAATAAGATCAGAAGGCAGGGGGGAGGGAAAAGACAAGATAACAGAACATGGTGAATGAAAAATAAAAGGAGGAAAGAGGAATTTCAAAGCAAAACAAGAAAGGTGGCGAGGAAAGCAAAATAAACACACTTTCAGGACTGGATATGTACTAGAGAGTAAAACAGAAGGTGAAACGGGGGAGTTAGCCACAACATGGAAATCTAGAATGCAAAGTAAATAGGGTTGCAGAAAAGCTGAATGGTTGTTAGATGGGTAAACGGTCAAAAACGACAGAGCAGGGGGAGAAAGAATAGGACCAAGCCACAGAGACACTTTGAATACTGCTTTGGGGAAATAATCTGCTCTTATATCTGACAGAGCCAGATACTTCTTCAGCCTGTGCAGGGAAGTAACAAGCAAACTGTTCAGCCAAGCAACAAGACACAAGAAGATACCCGAGACCAATGGAGGCCTATTTTGTGCAGGTAGAGCGCTGCTAACTCTGAAGGCAGTGAAAGAAATGTCTAGCAAGAAATGAAAGCCAAGTGAGAGATTTGGGAACAGGGTGTTAGCAGTAGCACACGCCATAGCTTCATTTTCCAATTACTACTACTACTTCCTATTGTTTTTATTTTATTTTATTTTCCATTACTACTGTGTACATGCTAACTAGAAGTAAAACTATGCGGCCAGTTACAGTACCTGCATTTCTAGTTTAGTGGACTTTCATGCATCCGTAAAAGATGCTACTTAAAAAAGAAAAGTTATTGGGCCCACACTCCCAATCCACAATCCATTTACTTTTACCAGTGCTTTCATGACACTCTGGAACCAACCAGCAGTACTCCAGAAGATTTATATAGACAGACATGCAAGCTATAGATCATTTTACCTGTTGAAATGACAGCTGCTGTTACGCCAGTGATACTAGGTCCATCTTTGTGTATCTGAGGTGCGCTGTTGTCCACTTTTGCAGAGGTAAGGGGAGGAGGAAATACTGGAGATTGCACTGGTAAGATTTTTTTCTGTAAAAAGAAGAAATATATTTATCGTAAATTTTAAAAAATATAACTGCTTCTTTCCTATCAGAAGACAGACGGCCTTCAGATCACCATTTGCTCAAGCTATCTTATTTCTCTTAACTGTAGAATGCTGCCAGAAGAGTATAAAGACTAGATCTTTGCAACTCCCAGTCCCAACCCGTTTTCCAAGAGTTCTCCAGAAGGGTCAGCAGCAGAATCTCGTCACAAGCTAGGGAACCACATGAGATAATCTGTTAAGACTGGCCAAGCACACAAAAAGCCAGCTCAAGATTACTTCACACATCGCTACCATATTACGTACAGTGGTAGGTTCAGGTAGCCTCACGCATTGTAAGCCACATCAGTTGTGTCCCACCTGCATGTCTAGTTCCCATGGATAATAAAGCTGCTGATACTTTAATTGATAATGATAGTAGATGCTGATATTCTTCTTTACCATTGTCCTTGCAACCACTGGCAAAAATGCATGCTTTAATTAGCGATCTTTGCCAGTAAAGTTAGCCTGCACCAAAACAGCTCTTTTTAAAGCAGAGAGTCAACAAGAAATTAAATAAAGGGATATTTATTTTGGCGACCACATATTGATTAACACTGAATGGGTAGCAATGGGTAGCTGAGGACAAATAAGTGGTTCATAAATTAACGAAATAATATCTCTTTCACATAAGTATCAAGGTGATTTAATGTCAAACAATTTAAAAAGCAAAAATAGGTCAAAACAACAACTAAGGATTGATTTTAAAACAATACTTGAAGCTCAAAGGCCTAAAATGTTCACCAATAACATGTACAAAAGGGCAGGCCCAGCTCAAAAGAAGAGGCCTACTAGGTAGGTAAGGGATAAAGTGGTCTCTAAGGTAATATGTTCCCAAGTGCACTCTTCCTGTATCAGCAAATGTAGCAATCTAAATATATATATATTTATCTTTGTCTCCAATACATTCAATAAAATATATTGTTTGCACCTTTTATTATTGTCATTTCTATACTGCCCTTCATCTGAGGATCACAGGGTGATTTACAATATAAAAACACAAAAATACATAACATAGTAACAAACAAAAACAATGCCCCGCCCCTGTTTAAAAGGCCATAGATTTTTTTTTTATTGGTCACAGGCCTAGAAGAAGGGGAATGTTTTTGCCCGTCGCCTATAGATACGCAACAAAGGTGGCAGGTGAGCTTCCCTGGAGAGAGCATTCCACAAGTGGGGAGCCACCACAGAAAAAAAGCTTGTTCTTGTGTTCCCACCCTTCAGACCTCTCATGAAGGGGGCACAAAAAGAAAGGCCTCAGATAATGATTACATGATATGGGGTGGTTTAGATGGGAAGAAGTGGTCCTTGAGGTATCGTGGTCCTGAGCCATGTAAGACTTTATACATCAAAACCAGCACTTTGAGCAGAGCTTGGGACCTAATTGGCAGTCAGGACAGAATTGGCATTGTTATGTTCAAACCATCTTGCCCTAGTGAGCAACCTGGCCGCTGAAGTCAGCACCAGCTGAAGTTTCACTGCAGTAATAGAGTTTACCAGAGCACAGATGACAGAAGTTAGGCTGTCCCTTGTCCAGGTAAGGGTGCAGCTGGGTCACTAGCCAAAGCTGATGGAAGACACTCTGCGACACCAAGACCATCTGAGCTTCAAGTGACCACAATGGATCCAGAATTACCCCCAAGCTGCTGTAACCTGAACAGGGAAGCTGTGCTCCTTTCAAAGGGAGTGTAACCTTGAAAAGGATGCTGTGTTCAATACGACACACCTAGTAAACTGCTTGCACAATTGGACATTTCAAGAAGAAACTCGGTGGTGAAATCAGTACAAAATAAGCTGGGGAAACATAAAAAGCATCTACTGCAATTGTGATGGTAAACAGATTTGCTCTCACCTTCCTTCCTGGTTTCAAGCCTTTTTTCCTTTTTTTGAGATTCTCTTTTTGAGATGTGTTTTTCGCTACAGGGGTGTTTTTGGGAGACCTGCCTTTCCTAGGGACTGCAGGTGGAGCCGCTGGTTTCCCCCGGCTAGGCTTCCTTCCCCTTGATGTAGAAGGAGGAACAGGAGCAGATTTCTGAGGAGACTGCATTGAGCGCCGGGTCACTTTGGAAGGGGATGTCTGAGGTTTCGAATTATTCTTTGTACCCGAAACTGTGAAGGAAGTCAAATATACATTTATCAGAATGCATACACTTCAGGAAGCAGTATTCTTAGAAAAGTTCAATTACACTTCGAAGTATGTTGACAACGAGATATTTTCAAGTGATTTTGAACTGAAACAAGAACTGCTAACTTTTAAACCAGATAGGGAAGTGGTGTTTCTGACAGCAAGCTTGATGTGCAGAAATATGGGTAATGTTAATCTTCATATGCAAAGAAAAGCTGGTTTCTGTACATCAAGCTGCTGCTAGAGGCACAAAATTGGGCCATGTGATTTCTTTTCTGGCAACACCAGTTAGGACATAACGAGATAACAGAAGAGCTCCACCCCCCAAAAAAAACCCTAAATGAAATTTAATGGAATTTCTTAACAACATGCTGGGAGTTTTGCTTTCACAGGCGCTACTGAAGTGAATGGAATTTGTTCAAGAATATTTGTGGTAACTATATGAACAGCAAGTCTCATATATATATATATATATATATATATATATATATATATATATCTCCATGCTTCTGATTAACTGAAAAAGTTTTGATCATTCTGCCTTCTACCCCTTGACTTTCCAGTCATGTGGATTCCTGTGATTGGTTTCATTTGGTCAAGAAAGTACACCGTTCAATTCCTTCATGTGTCTTAAAGAAGAAGATTGCTCCCCCCCCCTTATAAAGCATATATATTTCACATCAAAATAAATGTAGTTTTGATGTTTCCATTGAGTCTGTTTTTCTGGTATCCAAGAAGAACCCCAAAGTAATTTTAAAGTCCCACAATTGGTAAAACAATGTCTGCCCATGTCTAAATGCAGCCGCTTCAATGTGAAAGGGAAAACACTTCAGTTTTCAAAAATAAAATTGTGGAACCATTTTGGACCAATTAAACACTGAAAACCAATGTTTGAAACACATAACCAAGGTTGCATGGTCTGTTTTTGTGTAAAGCAGGAAAATTCTACAGAGAGAATACATTCATAGAAAATAAAAAATATATTTTATTTATGTGACACAAAATTTTAACACGTGAAATCTGGCCCAGCTCCTATGTATATTGTTGTTTGACTAGCTCACACTCTACAGATTATACATTTCTTTTTCATACAGCTTTATACAGTTCTGGAGAAGTTTTTAGGTAACTAAACAGTGTTGCTTTTCTTCTTCATCACATTCAATAGTTATCAACCACTTGTATTATACTACTGTTGAAGAATGAAACATTTCTAAGAAGGTACATTTGTGTGAAGTTAAATTCCATTTATTCCGATGTTCAGAAAATCATCACTGGTGTAAAAATTGAAAAATAAAAGTTTTATTACAAAATGTAATTTCACTGCACACAAACACAAATTTCATCACACACTCTCACACACACTTGCCACACTCACACATTGCAAAACAACAGTTATCTGGAAAAAACATGTTTGTGCTACAGTCTATGGCTGCCTCCACTGAAATGTCAATGGATTAACGTGCAGCAAAAATCTGAGAGGACAGCAGAGTTCACAAATACAAAGAAAACACCCTTCAATGCCACAGGTTGTAAAATAGCAGGTACACGGTTTTACACACAGTAACTTTCTGCTCTTTGGAATAAATGATGGATAGTGCTTGCTGAACAAAGGCTGCAAATGGAGTAATAATGAGCCCCTGCTGGAACGCTATATAAAAACAATTTCCTTTAAACAGGTCTCCTACCTTTATATTCCAGAGATGCAGATGTCATTTACATTAGCCACTTGTAAGGTTCAAGACCCAATCTCATAGGACTGCTTTTTTAGACTGAAAAAGCAGATCTGCAACAAAGCCCACACCGCCTAGAAAGCGGGCACTGAAATTTTGCACGAGCAAATCAGGGTGCAGCAATTTGCATTTGTTGGTTTAAGAGGAAGAGGAAGGGGGAGGGCAACAGAGTGGAGGGGAGAGACTGCTAAAGCAATTCACATATTGTCTGCGGGCTCTATTGACAGTGACCATCAGTCACCTGCTCATACTTCCTTAACCACCCCCTCTTGAGGAGGGGATCAAAGGTTACATGGGGTCAGAGAATCTGGAAAGAGTGAAAGGACAAGCAAAGAAATCTAGCTGCCAACACAACTGTATCATGTACAGAGGTATCTCAGCTGAGCTACAGGAGCCAAAACTTGAAAACCATTTTGTAATCTCAACAGGATTTGTATTAAAGTATTAGTGCATCAAAATATTAGTTTATTAAAATGGGATGGGGGGGTTATCGGCTGTGTCTCTTTGTAATTAATATATAATGTGCAGTTGGAAGGGGGTGGGCAGCCCTTTTGCTCTTTTCAGGCCATTGCTTTGCATTACAATGGCCCTCTCCATTCCACAAACAAAACAAAGCATTTTGTTTCTCGCTGAGCCGGCAAAACAATTGAGACATCAAGCATTCAGGTCTCTTGTGGGTACTCTAGCTACACAGCAGCCCCTGCTTAAAACTCTGATCCTAAGCAACAACTTTATTAAAGTCTTTTCAAACCAAATAGTCTTATACTAACCGGAGCAACAATGCATCTTGAAAGGATGGAACAAGAAGCAAAGGATGTTAACACGGCTTTCTGTATTGAGAGTACTGATTGCTTATAGAGCTTTCAGTAGCACAGACAGTTCTTTACTGCAAACATATAACAGCAACTAGGATGCTTCAATTGCTTCTACAATTGCTTATCCTTGTTTTGATATGGTGTGAGAAGATGGATTAAACATTATGTGTAGACCTATGAAAAAGACTAAACAATTATTGGCGCTTACAACTTTTCCACATCTGTTCATTTATTTTAGGATCCATAAGCAGACCCAGCATAGGGTCAAACCCTACTATTACCAAATAGTCAGATGTTGCAGCTCCATATAAGACAAATTATATGGAGATAGTTGCTCAGCTTTTTCAGGGAACCTGCTTTTTAATGCATCTAGAAAAAAACTACTTAATGCATCTAGAAATAGTTGCTAGAAAAACTATTTGAAAAACTGTATGGACAGTAGCTATGCTGGTGCCATAAGCAACTCAACAGCTGAGCAGCATCTCCTGACATAACTGTAATGAAAACAAAATGTAGTACACCAATGTAAGAGAGGGAGAGGGAGGGACAGAGAGAGAGGCACATGCACAAGAGAAATAATGCAATTGTAATTGTGGAAAAGTTTATTAAGGAGATGTGAAATGCCACTACTTCTGACAATGATAACACTGGCTAAGTTCAGACATAACGAAAAACCATGGGATAATTTTGCTTCTGATTTTAAACACAGCTTTCATTACGTCCAATGTCATGGAACGGTAAGTCTGTTTAAGTGATGACTTGTGAGAACAAGCCATGTTCCGGAAGCACTTTTCCCTGATCATAGGAAACCATGGTTTACATATTATCCAAAGAAGCTTCCAACCACCTTCCTTAGCACAACAGCGGGGGAGAGGGAAGCATGCAACTCCCAAGGGTTGCTACACCTTGTTCAGGTAACGTGGCCCTACGGTTTCTCATTACATCTGAACTGGTGGCAAGCGTAAAGTTATCAAGGTTTGTCTCTCTTTGGCTGCAATCCTATATCCATGAACACGAGGGGAAGCTACTTTGCAAGTATAGTAAATGATAGAGCAGAGGTCACCAATATTTTTGGACTAGTGGGCAAATTTTGTAGGGTGACCGTCACAAAACCTTCATAGCCACCATGGCACCTGCAGACATTGGGATGGTGATCCCTGGTGCTAGTGAATACATTTAATTAAAGCTAGTGGGATTCCTTAGGCTTTATTTCACCCTACTTAGATTTTGCTATAGCATTAAATGATGATGGGAAACACCCAAATACCAACACATTTTTCCTTATAGCTTCTCTGTCAGCTGTATCAAAGCCTTAAAGAGACAGGCTTAAAAGCAAAGATGGACCAGATGAGCCTGACATGTGGAATTTAACAAATAAAAAATTCTTACCACTATTCCCTGGTGGCTGTAGAGCATCTCCTGTTAAATCGCACCATCCGACTGGAAAGATATCCCGAGAATCATATTTACACCAATAGTCAAATGCCCCTCGCCAGCCATCAAAGGTAATAAAAACTTCATCTCCTTTAACGTTCCCAATCGTTGCGGGACATATTAAATAAGGATTTTTTCTGTCTATTGCTTCTAGCTTCATTCCAACTTTAAAACAGTTTGGAGAAGGCTTTGTAGGTTCCTGCCAAAACAAAAGAGCCAAACAGGTATGTACACATGAGATCTTGGAGGGAAATGAGTTTCATATAACCTTGATGCCTAAAAGGACTCATGCTCCAAAAGATACGTAGTACTGGGGGGAAAATATGTTAGCCCTTTTCCTGTATTTTCTATGGTCCAGATCTCCTCCATGGATAAAAAATCATGTTTCTAAGCTAAATGACAGGTTTTATGAGTGATAAAAAGCAGCAAAGAATTTAAAAGCAAGAATTTAAAAGAAATCAACAAAAGGACACTTTGGAGTATTTAGTTATTTACAATATTTCTATTACCGCCTGTCAACAAGAAGTCCATTTTTTGTTGTTGAAAATTTAAGATACGTATTTCTTTCCTTAATTACTGATGAAAGCAACATATTTCCAACGCTTTGATAATCACAAGAAGAATAAGTTGTTACAGTGTTGTGAAAAACATAAAATAGTTTGCAGTGTCACCCGTCAGTGTTGAGACCATGAACTGACCAATTACCATCTTCAAGTCTATGCCTAAAGCAGGTTTGTAAACGAACAGGAGACTCTCTTATAAAGCCATTCGAATTTGCATAATGTGACTTCAATGCATGTTCAAATGATGAATTGCTTCCATGATGGCATTTTGTTTCCTACTCTTCCTTAAGTTTTATTGTTCATTAGATTGATTTCCAAGTTTTGTGGGGAAGGACATGCATTATTAATAAAAAGGGGCATAGCTTCATTTGTAAAATTGTCCATGTAACTAAAAGGACAATTTAAGTTGTAAATATAACTTATATTCTTTTCCCTTACATAATTAAGGCACGTTATTTCATTTCTTCACTTTGTAAATCAACCCACTTCATTTTCTTTCAAGAACAGACTTGTACTGTTCCAGCTTTGGTGCAATTCATAAAGTTTATTTATTTCATAACATTTCTGTTCCACTTGAGTGTAAAAAAACCCCCAACCAAACCTCAAAGCAGTTTACAAAATGAGTAACGCAATAATCAGCAAAAAAGTTTAAAACATCCAAATTTACTACTACTTACTACTACTACTACTGTTTGAATTTATATACTGCCTTATACCTGGAGGTCTCAGGGTGGTTCACAGAACAAAATCAAAATATAAAACCACAAAATACATAATCTAAATGAAAACAAGAACCCAAGAACCCACCCCCCAAAAACGCCCACATTTTAAAAGGGCATAGGATGTCAACCAAATCAACTGTCTAGTTAAAAAGGAACTTTTTTGCCTGGTGCCTAAAGGTGTATAATGAAAGTGTCAGGTGAACTTCCCTGGGGAGAGTATTCCACAGACAGAGAAGGCCTGTTCTCAAGTTGCCATCCTCTGGACCTCTCAAGGAGGCACACAAAGGAGGGCCTCAGAGGATGTTCTCAGGGTCTGGGTAGGTTCATATGGAAAGAGGCGGTCCTTGAGGTATTATGGTCCTGAGTCGTTTAAGGCTTTATAGGTCAAAACCAGCACTTTGAATTGGGCCTGGAAATGGCAGCCAATGCAGTCAGACCAGGATCAGTATAATATGCTCAAACCTTCTTGCTCCGGTGAGCAACCTGGCCGCTAAATTCTGCAGTAGCTGAAGTTTCCGAAACATCTTCAGATGCAGCCCTATGTAGAACGCATTGCAGTAATCTAACCTTGTGGTTACCAGAGCATAGACAACAGTAGTTAGACTGTCCCTGTCCAGATAGGGGCGTAGTTGGGCCACTAGCCAAGCTGATGGAGGGCATTCCACTCCACTGAGGCCACCTGAGCCTCGAGCGACAGCAAAGGATCCAGGAGTACCCCCAAGCTACGAACCTGCTCCTTCAGATCAGAAGTGCAAGAGCAAGCGATCTCCCAAACCATCTGGTCTAGTGCCTCAGTCTTATCTGGGCTGAGCTTCAGTTATTAAAATAACATGAACTAAGCACAAATTAAAACACATGTAAACATCATATACCAAGAGACAAGAAAGGAGTAAAAATGTTGAGATTGTTACAAGAAGAGAGTGTATTGTTTTTAGCATAAAAATGTGTTCTGCGTTGTCATTTGTGTATGATCCGTACAACAGTGACTGGAATAAGGAGGGTGGGGCATAATTTATGGGTGTTCACTATGCTTGGAAGTCTTTGATACATTCACCAGACTATTCAACAGAAAATAGTCAACCTCTCCCATGCAGGAATTAACATCTACATTTGTCTAGACTGTAATACACCATTTATGCATGAACAGGAACATCACATGTAATAAACAACACACATATTTTAATATATTAATTTGACCTGTGTGGAGAGGTAAGCCTAAAACTGTTAAAACCAAAGAGATTTGTTCTGAACTCAAGACATATACAGGCATTTTCTAAATGCAGGCACTGAGGATGGGGAAGGATGTTCCCCTTCCTAGTACTCCTGTCCTTTTAAACAACTTCCTTGCCTTTTCAGGCTGGACAGGGCAGTATAGTGCACTGGAATCCTCAACAAGCAATACAACTGCAGCCGAGTCTCCTACCTTCTTAAAGAATGAAGCAGGCGCCATTTCAGCACCATTTAGTGTTCTTAGGAGAAACATTGGCCAAGGAAGATGCATTCATCTGGAACCCTAAAATTGACAAGAATAGATTAGTTGTGCATAACAGATTTACCAAAAATATGCCTTTTAAGAAACAAGAGAACCTTTGTTAAGTGGCGTTATCTCTGCAGGATACGTTTTGATTATAAATAGAGGATGAGCATGGGCGCATCGTGCTGAGGCACTTCCCACCAGAAGCTACAACCGTAATTGAGCAATACTACTAAGCTAAGCACCTGGTGCAACATGTGGGAATACAGCGCTACATTTCAAGTTAAGCAGAAAGGGAGTGTTTGACTCATACTGTATTACGAGCGGAATAGGATTTCTGGGACCAGACAGTTCGACGTCACTTGGGAAATGCCGGTTTTGTATACAGTTAGCAGGAGGCAATTACACACACAATTAGCTCCAAGCTCAGCCAACAAACAAGATGCGGCAAAACTGCCAAAGGGAAGGTTTCAAAAAGGTATTTAGCTGTGCAACACCATTTGGACACTGGAATTCTGCCTATCTTCAGAAAACATAGGAGGCCAAATACAGTAAGATATATTTTATCAAGGGCTCACTTGTCTGGCTCAATAAAGATATGTGCCAGTTTACATACACTGCAGGAGCAAACTAATTGCATTATAGTACCCGGCAAACATTACTGCAAAGATTTGGGGGGGGGGGACACTCACACAGATATTCATTCACTGGTGGTGCTGAAACACCTGTTTCAAGCCATTTTGCTTCCAAACAATTACTTTCTCAGTATAGGCCAGGTGTGGGGAACCTCCGGGTCTCTCTTTCCCCCCACCCCTCACTGGCTAGGTAGAGAGGAAGGTGCAAATTTGCATAGAAACTAGCCTAGCAAAAATTTTACATTTGTTGCTTCGTGCACTTTCCCCTCTGGCCACCATTGGCACGTGGTCCTTATGAAGTTTTCAGAAGGGAATGCATCCCTCACCCTGAAGGCAATAAAACATCTTGCTAACAGGAGCAAGATTTTCATACCCGGGGAAGGAACCTGTGGCTCTCCAAATGTGCAACTGATAATCTTTGGCATTGCTGGCTGAAGCTGATGGGAGGACTGGGAGTCCAACAACATTTGGAGGCCACAGGTTAGTCACCTCTGCTTTAAAGCGCCACTAAATTATTAACCAATTATTGTTTCCATTATTCATACAGAACCATCAGTGGTGATACACAGGCTTTGGAAGACAGGTCCCTAATCTATCGCAGGCTTACGGCCTACAACAGAACACAGACATCAACAGGGAAAGAGGAGGGAAATGGAGGCATGGGGAAAACAGGGAAGAATGTGCATTATTTCAATGACACGCAGTGACAGTAGGACAAGGGGGACCAGGAAGCTGCCCCCAAAGACTTCACACAGGACAGATATGGCTTGAGGAAGTGAGAGAGGTGGCATCACACAGGTTTTTTTCCTGGGAGACAGTTCTAAAGGGCTGCAATAGAGAAGGGGTGGAATTCTTTGAAGAAGTCACGCATCAAGATGGTGAAACTGGGCAAGGGCAGAGGGCAACAGGAGGACAACGCCACAGAAGGTTTTGAAGGAAAAACCTGGGAACTTGAGTGACATTTCTCACGGCAGTGCCATGAATCCATGGTTCACTTGTATTATCTCTAGCAAACTCAACCCAACTCGCCCAGTCCAGTACATTTAGTCTAATCTTCATTCCCTTTATCTCCGGCTGCTGTTATTTTGATACGTCATTTCAAACTCTACTGTGACTTCGAAGCAAACTTTGATTTCATCCATGTTAGGCTTATATGTTTTCTTACCAAGTGGTGGCTGAAGCATTCCTCCTTTCTTCTCGCAGGTTCCAATTGGCTGTATGTCAGAAGAATCCACTAGCCTCCAAAAGTCGTTTTTGTTGTCGCTTCCATCAAGCCGCAACCTTAATCTGGCACCCGTGATTCCAATAACTGTAGCTATACATACTGAGGTAATGTTTCGAGGGTCATGGGCTTCCAATTTCATCCCCACTTTGAAATCATTGCTAGGTGGAACCCTAGACTGCAAGAAAGGCAAAATAAAGCATTTACTGGACTATTTTTCCAGGAGGGAGAGAGAGAAGGAATCAGCAGTACTTATTTGGCTAGTCACAAGCTTATTTATTCCCACCATAATTGTTTCTCAGCCTTTGGGGCCAAGATCAAGTGTAGCTCCTCAAAGAAATTGCTGGAAAATTTCCTGGCACCTAAATATTTGATTCTATTTCCAGCCCTGGGCAATTATCCCAGGTGCCCTAAATGCCATTCATATTTACTGTAAATCACTCTTCAACCTAACCAAGGATTTACAGTTCCTATTGTATCTTCACATTATGAGGTAGGCTAGGCTAAAAGATAGTAACATACACTGAGCAACGACCTTCAATGGATGAGCTACCCCACCTACAAATCTAATAGGTGATCCGTTGTATTGAAGTTGGCTTCTTACACAAATTTATTCTTTTGCACAACCATAGGAAGCTGGCACTTCCACCCTAAACTTACCTACTTGCAAGCTGTCTCATCCATTTTATTGTAATTTACTTCTAATTAACTTCACAACAAATCACAGCTTTAAGAGGCATGAAAGGCTAATACCATCCTGACAGAAAATTTTAACTTATGCAACTAGTATTTATGATTTTAAAAGCCACTGGAGCCCCCTCCCCCTCTAAATAGTATCAAGTACCTGAAGCTTGCAAAATACCCATATGGGTTGTGTAACACAGAAGCAGACAGACTAGTATCAACTGGGAAATCTCTGGGGTGATTTGCAGTTAATTAGCAGGTGGTTCTAGCTTTTTTCTAGTTTAACAACAGTGAAAGTTTTTAAAAGGAAGCCATTTCTCTCCTTGTGCTAACGTTCTTAGGTGTTTCTAACTTATAAAATATGAATAACAATTGGTGGCCTTTGGCTAAGTTTTTATACAACAGTATTGGCCACTTTAAGAGTTCTGAGTTCTCATCCTTGATCTATGTTAACTCAAGATACAGATTTGTATATCCATATATAGTGAATGGCTCAGGGATTACAACAGGTTGTTGACCCCCTCTTCATATATACCAGGCATGGCCAAACTTGGCCCTCCAGCTGTTTTGGGACTACAACTCCCATCATCCCTAGTTTAAGAGGACCAGTGGTCAGGGATGATGGGAATTGTAATCCCAAAACAGCTGGAGAGCCAAGTTTGGCCATGCCTGAACAAGGCCTCTAAACCTTGGGCTTCTTGTAAAAAAACAAAAAAACCCTCATAACCCTGAAGTCTGCCCACCCTGGCATAACATATATCTATATGAAAGGTAAGCAACACAAATAAACTACAATACTAACATAAAACACTTTCGTATACTCATTTATATTTTAAACCATTTACCTGTCTGAAACAATGTGAAGGAGCAGCTAAGGATCCAGTCTCTTTCAAGTAGTTATCCCAGTTAAAATATTCTAGGAGGGAAAAGCGTGGGAGAGCAAAATTTAAACATATTGTTGAGATAAAAAGCCTTCAATCTGCAGGAAGCACACAGATTTTTGTTTATTATCTTCTTCAATCTTTTTTATATTTGTCATCATTTGTGACTGAGGGAAGCAGTTAGCATTCTAAGAGACCACTAGAAGATAAGCAGAAATCATTTACCCAAAGGAAAACAAAGTACAGTGGTGCCTCGCAAGACGAAAATAATCCGTTCCGCGAGTCTCTTCGTCTAGCGGTTTTTTCGTCTTGCGAAGCAACCCTATTAGTGGCTTAGCGGATTAGCGCTATTAGCGGCTATTAAAGGCTTAGCGGCTATTAGCGGCTTAGCAAAAGGGGGGGGAGCGAAAAAAAATCGCAAGACTCGCAAGACGTTTTCGTCTTGCGAAGCAAGCCCATAGGGAAAATCGTCTTGCGAAGCAACTCAAAAACGGAAAACCCTTTCGTCTAGCGGGTTTTTCGTCTTGCGAGGCATTCGTCTTGCGGGGCACCACTGTATCTGAACTTCTTCTCTTTTCTATATACATATAGATAATGCTTTTCTTTTCAGATATAGATATAGATATATGAAACCCTTGTTAGAATCTAGATTTATATACAGTGGTACCTCGGGTTAACTACTTAATTCGTTCTGGGGGTCTGTTCTTAACCTGGAACTGTTCTTAACCTGAAGCACCACTTTAGCTAATGGGGCCTCCTGCTGCCGCTGCGCTGCCACTGCCCAATTTCTGTTCTTATCCTAAAGCAAAGTTCTTAACCTGAGGTAATATTTCTGGGTTAGCGGAGTCTGTAACCTGAAGCGTATGTAACCTGAAGCATATGTAACCCGAGGTACCACTGTACTACTTTTGCAGGAGCAGTTTTAGTGAAATTAATAGAAGTGGTTTCACTGGTTTACAGATTGAGCATTAACATAAAACAAAAAGGAACATTTCTTTGTGCACATGGAGGCGAGTCACTGCTGAAAAAACACACACAAATGCATTCACACTTAAGCTGTGCCTACACTGCAGCTTAGAATAGCTTCGACCTTGGAGTGTGCTAAGTTTGCAGGGTCTGGATTCCCTTTGTTATCTATCCACTCCTTCAGAACCCTGCTGAATAAAGATAAACTACTGTGTTTACTTAGCACGAGATTTCCTGGGACAATAAAGTGGTTCTTGGTTTAACAATGGCAAGGGCTGAGCTAAGTAAATAATCCTTTTTAAAAGTTTCTTTAAAAAAAATGTAAATGCTGATTCTCATTATAGCATACAGCTGCATAATTTGGGCAAATGCTTGCGAATCAATACCTGCTCCACTCAAAAATCCAGATGCAAGTTTGTTTGTTTTTGCAGGTGGGTGCGCAATAGTTTGCAGGAGTAGAGAGAAGGTAGAGATAGATATGAACTGCCTCCACCCACCACCAGCTAAACACAAAATGCACACAACACTGCATATCACACAAGCCACAGATATGCACGAAAATATACATACATGTACACATGAGGGGACAGGCCAGAGGGAACATGTCCTCCCCAAATACACACATAGTTGAAGGAATAGAGTCAAAAAGGGGGGGAACCACCCCCTTGTCTCCCCCCCTGTACCCCCACCCACTCATGTGCTTCCCACACAACCATCTCTACTACTTCATCCCTTCTTTCTGCACACCTCTAGCTATCTCCTCCAGACTGAAGGAGGAGATGGTTGACATGACATCCCAGCGCTCACAAGCCAAGGGAAAAAACCAAGGTCTCTCATACGCTGCCCAGTCAACAGACATATATTGGGACTACACGTCCAGATCCCACCTTACACTGCTAATCTGTGCATGTTCTCCATGGCTTCATGAGTTTCCTCTCCAAATACAAAAATTAAGTCACTGAAAAAAATGATACCATGCTGCCACCTAGTGGCTTTGATAGGATAATCTACAACCTGGTGCCCTCCAGATGTTTCCAACAATTCCCATCAGCTGATGACAGTTGTGCTTTGATGCAGTGTTAGAAACTGAGATATGAAAGCTAGGAGCTAAATGACACCTTAAACTTATGTTATGGGCGCAACAACGGAATGTCTAGGCGTGCTTTTTTATAGCAAGAATACAGAGCTGAAAATGAATGAACTGCAGCAGCTAAAATATTATGTTCATTCCTTCCCCTGCTCACCCCTCTAATATTCTTAAGAGGGTCTCTTCTCCAGTCTTCAGAGAGTGGCTGGAAGTGGGGAGTCAGAAAAGGTCCTCCTTTCCTTCCACTCCGGTTTTAATCTGAAATCTTAGGCGCAATACTGCACCCAGAGCTCAGAAACTGCTCGTGCTAATGAAATTCCCTGTCGCAAAATGCGCCTAGAACAATGGGGGTTTTCAAACACTGCTTTGATGCATGTAGTCTAAAACAACCTGGAGGCTGCCAGGTTGGGGGAAGGGCTGCTTTATAATTGCTAATAAAACTCAGAGGTCCTGGCTAATAGCAGAAAGCCTCCTTGAGGCTGCCACAAGTGATGCAGCAGTGGGACTCCTGCATCTCATGTTCTGACATTAGCTTGTACTGGATTTCTACCATTCATTATGTGGCACACGTCTCCTGTGCTTCACTCATGTATCCAGCCCATTATTTCCTTAAAATGTTAAAACTCTTGCACAATCAGGGTGAGGAAGGCCCATCTTGAGCAGAGCTAGTCACTTTTAAAAGTCCTCCTTTACTTCATTCATTTTCAACCAAAAAAACTGCTTTTTGTTTTAACTCCCTCAGTCTACCTATATATCAACCAAGTTTCAATTTCTCCCTTTGGTTTATTTTAGCAACATTACCTACCCTAAAATCTTTCTTGAACCCAAGAGCAAAGATACCAGCAAACCCAGGCAAAAGGGCTCAGGTAGGAGAATAGGAAGCAACTTAAAAGGTAAAAAGGGACCCCTGACCATTAGGTCCAGTCGTGGCCGACTCTGGGGTTGCGGCGCTCATCTCGCTTTATTGGCCGAGGGAGCCGGTGTACAGCTTCCGGGTCATGTGGCCAGCATGACTAAGCTGCTTCTGGCAAACCAGAGCAGCGCACGGAAACGCCGTTTACCTTCCCGCTGGAGCAGTACCTATTTATCTACTTGCACTTTGACGTGCTTTCAAACTGCTAGGTTGGCAGGAGCTGGGACTGAGCAACAGGAGCTCACCCCGTCGCAGGGATTACTTATTTATAAAAAATATTTATACACCTCTATTTCGTTAAAAAAGATAAGAAGAAAAGCATACCTGGGCAGGCAGAGTTAAGTATGCTTGTCTGCATTTTTGTATTAAGGTTGTGTGTCTGGGTTAAGTGTGCATGACAGATTGTCCCCACTTTGGTGCCAGGCCCTGGAGTGGAGTCCCTAAGAAAATAAAGTGCCCTACCCATTTCAAAACCCTAAAGGTTATGGCAGGGCCACTAGAGCAAGGATCTTTCTGATCTTCTTCTCCCCCACACGCAGCAGCCCTCTTAAAAGATCCCGGGATGATTGGGAGACCACCTGAACAGCATGGACTACACTGCAGGAGGTAGTTGTCCAAAAATCAGGAAGGAGGCACCTTGCACAAGTGCAGAGGCTAATCGGGTGAGGCAGGAGGCGATGGGAGAGATATGTGAATGAGCAGAGGTTAAACCCCATTTATTTATTTTAAAAATAATTCATAATATTTACATTTACAATACATACCATTATTTAGCAATTGGTTGCTTGACAGACAACTCTTCCCATGTTTTTCTCTTTTAATAGTCTTAGAATCTAAAGAAAAAGCAAGGATGTAAAACACAGTATTTTTTACATAATTTTGCAGAATAAACTGCCCCGGGCTGAGGTATCCATTGTGCATGGATATAGTTCCAGCTGAGAACCACTGCTATGTATACAAGGCTAAATTATTTGAAGCTAATTATCTTTTTAAAGCCCCCTGAAAGAGCTCTGCCCTAAAAAGAATTTAAGTACTTTGAATGAATGAGTAAATAAATAAATAAATAAATAAATAAATAAGGGACACACACACACACACACACACACACGTACGTACATGTATGTATTTGCCAAGCAGCAGGTGATACTGTTGGTCCTCATTGTTGCACTGGTTTCAATTTCTCCCCCCGGTCATCATGTTTAGTCTGGGAATGTCTTTTCAACCTTTGCAAAAGGTCCCCTTCTCCCTCTGGCACTGCACCATTCTTCTAAGAATCCCAACAATTCTGCCACACAAGAGGGAAAAGGGCCTCTTTGCAAAAGAGGCTGGTTTCCTCCTCTGCTCCCCAGAACAGTCCTGGGGTAAGAGGCCCTTCTACATCAGTGCTTCCTTAGAGAGCAAAAACTCTGCTGAATGTGTGAGGCTGATGCAGCATGTCTGCTGCGTCTGTCTCCCCACCCCGCAGGGTAGTAATACGTGTTTCATGTACACTTGTCTAGTCCTTCCTTGCCGAGGGTGTGTTTGCATTGTAATGTGTTGCAAATGGGCGGCTGTCCCAAAACGTGGCCCTTGTGCCAATCAAGGCTACCCACCCCTGCTTCAGGCACTTACGTGCAGGAAATGGCAGTGCAACCCATCCTGCAATGTTAAACACATTTATTAAGACGGAAACCCAGCTGGACTCAGTGGGATTTATTTAGTTATTTCTAGAAGAGTAACTGTGCATCTCATGTAATGAATAGAGTTAAAAATCAGGGAAAGGTACAGTATACTGTAAAAACTGTAAGCGCTTGGAGGAAACTAAACGTGACACATAGGTTTAAAAACAAACATTCCCTTACAAGACAAAGTACCCCGTTTCATACAGTTATCTGTAGAATATATTGCCATAGGGATGCGGGTGGCACTGTGGGTAAAACCTCAGTGCCTAGGACTTGCCGATTGCATGGTCGGCGGTTCGAATCCCCGTGGCGGGGTGCGCTCCCGTCGTTCGGTCCCAGCGCCTGCAAACCTAGCAGTTCAAAAGCACCCCCGGGTGCAAGTAGATAAATAGGGACCGCTTACTGGCGGGAAGGTAAACGGCGTTCCGTGTGCTGCGCTGGCTCGCCAGATGCAGCTTGTCACGCTGGCCACGTGACCCGGAAGTGTCTGCGGACAGCGCTGGCTCCCGGCCTCTTAAGTGAGATGGGCACACAACCCTAGAGTCTGTCAAGACTGGCCCGTACGGGCAGGGGTACCTTTACCTTTTTATATTGCCATGGGTTGCTCTGACAACTACTAGCATAACTGTAAGACCATGTAGATGCTTCACGGAAAAGTTGAACAATAGCTGCCAGATACTGAAGGTCAAGGAACAGGGGTGCCAACTTGAATAAAATATTGGGGGCGTGTCCCAGGTATGCCATGCCCCACATAATCCATCACATGACAGGGCACACCAATTTGAATTGCAATGCCCATCAACTTTGAGGCCCCCCAGCCCCTCAAATATTTTATTGGGGGAGCTGAAGGGACCTCGGCCCCTAGGAGTTGGCTCCTATGTGAAGGAAGATGGCAATCTCATTTTGCTTGTTGTATTGGGCTGGTCACAGATCAAAGTTGGGGAGCAATAAATATCTAACCTGGCCCAGCATGGTAGTTGCTGCATTCTAGCCAAATCAGGAGTTCTCCATAATTTGGAAGGGCATAAGCATTTTCAGTGTACTATGTAATTAACTACAACTGTGGTGTGTTCCCTGTGGAGCTCTGTAAACTCTCTCCCAAGTGCTGGAAGTGATTTGACCTACAGCAGTGCAACAATGGGACCAAGCATACATGCTCAGCTATCTGGAGGGGAAACCACTTTATATGGCCCTGACATTTAAATCTATCCCCAATATAAAAGGTTAGAAAACTCCATCACAGCAATAGTGAACATACGTACGTTAAATCAAATTAGAGAGAAATTTAGAGAGAAATACGTATGTTAAATCAAAAAGCTGCAATCATATACCCATATACTTATGGGACCACAAAATGAAAAGGGAAAAGGACCAGGGCAGAGAATAAAAATCATAAAAAACCCTGCAGAAATGTATTCTACTCTGTCATGAGATTAGTGAGTTGACTGTGGGGAGTTATATTTCCAAGCTGTGAGATCTTTCCTAGTCCACCTCCCATATTATTAGGTCTCTTGGGGGCCTCTTCCCCCCCTGAAAACTGCAGCCCTTCATTTACGTTGTTGCTTTGTTTCAAGAACTTTACCTTTAGCTGCTGTTTTCCCCATGGTAAAATGTTTGGTCCTCCTTTTTCACAATAAGAACACGTCCATCCACGCTTCTTTTTCAACACAACTGCTTCCTGTGGAAAAGTAACACAGCAGGTGAGGCCAAATGCAAAATAATATGTAAATAACTTTTGTACAATGGAAGCGGAATATAAACAGGCAATGCCTTTTTAACCCAGTCAAGAAGGAAGATGGAAGATAAACGTTACACCTTAGCTCCAAGTCACCTGGAAACAAATGCTACAGAATTTTCTGCACTATAGTTCATGAAGCTTGAACCTTAAGTTTAGATAAGCCATTCTGTTTAAACCATTTTATTAAAGGTCATGCTATTGATTCTAATTCGTTTGTCAAGCAAAATACCACTTGATGATACTGTTTCCCAAGCATTGCAGACATCCTATGACCAGTAATAACTAACTAGGAAAACTAAATTCATTAGAATTCATTTAAACAGGAGGTTGTATTAGCATTAAAATTTTAATTTTGGCACCACATAATAGTAAACAGAAATCTATTTCATTGCTACAGTTTTTGTACGCAAGTGCACACACTTTACAACTCACATCCATAAATACTGCTACTGGTGTTATCAGATCACTTTCAGCAGTGTGTCTGGCAGTAATGAAACTATAAAGTTGATGTTTTCACTCACTCCACAAATATACAAGAAACAAATTTAACTAGTTGTTAAGTCTACTAGTTCCCTCATCTGTGCCTCAACTTAAATTATGTTGTCATTTATTGCCCCTGCCTTCCTGAGATGTGCAACCTTGATTAATGGCAATAATCTCTCATGCCTTTTATATACATCATATACCCAACTCTGAACAGGGAAATGATAAACATTAGGGGATAAACAACAATAGCACTTATCAGATTACTATCCTGCATTTGGTTTTGATGTTAAGGTGTAAGACAAAGATCCAAACAGCAGGAAGGGAAATCGATTTTTATTTCCAATTGTAGCCAGAATTCAGTATTTCAGATATTGACATATGCCAAATTAATAGTACCGTAATCTATACTGTCTGTGGATTATTAGACGCATGTTGTATTTATTAAAACAACCATTTAAAAATTGTATTTATAAATGATATTACAAAAACAGATGTTGTATATAACAGAATAAATTGACACATGCCTTTGTATATCTCATTATAATTTAAGTTTACACCATAATTTAAAAACTGAATCCTGAACACATTAATTTTCATGAAATATTCATCTACTAACCAGAGAAGTTGGAAACATAGAGATGGATATTATAGCATTACCTTAATTTATTATATTTCGTAGCACTATGCCAGCATTTGCCAAATTACCTGCTTTTCATGATGGCGCTAACTTATAGTTACGGATTTTAGGGAAATTATCACCTGCAATTTATATAACACTCTGACTGAGAACCATTAAAGTTGAAAAGCTGTCTACAAAAACTGCAATAAATCAAACAATAAAATACTAAGCTGGCAATTGCCTCATTACACAAACAATGTAATTCCCTGGGATTATTCTGTCTGAACCCATTCTGTGACATTTTACACAGCTAACAAAAACTGGAAAATGCTTGCACGTATAATTTGAGCCTATAAATTGCTTCGCGTGCTACAGGGTGCTATGAAGAGTACTGTAAAACGTAAAGAAACACATAACACATTTCATGCGTCTGTCGTATCCAATAAGCAGAAGAAATGAAAATCCGCTTAAATGGAACATCACCAATAGCTGCTGAAGTCAAACACATTCCTAAGCTACTCTTCTCTGCCAGCAATAAACTATGAAAGGTGATGCTTAGTCCCAGTGGCCTCACTTTATGTCCAGGCTACTTTAAACAGTCTGTGGTTTTTTTTATCTTTTTTTTGTTGCCACCAGATTGCACTTGCTCCCATAATAAAGATTCCAACCCAGCAGTGATAATCATCCCTCTTAGCCACTGGAGTCCCTGCTAGAAACATAAAAAGAATTCCAGAGTTTCCGAAGTCTGTGCAGCTTTGGAGAGACGACTCCCTGCTAACACAGCAACTACAGTCAGTCCTTAAGTGGGGTTGTTGATATGCAGCCCTCCCTGGCCCCAAGGTACTGTTTTGTGGCTTATGAAATTCCGCTGCAGGTTTGAGAAGTCCAGTCTTCATTTATGGACACATACACTGGCTTCCTAATGTATGTACAGCACGGCCAAAAGGTATCTGAACTGTCATGTATACCACGACCAGTGTATACATGGGGATTGATCTCTACATTGGGGGGTGGGGAATGTGTGAAACTGCCCGCTGGATTCAGTGCAGAAATACAGTCCCTTCATCATTACTATTAGTTCATAGTTACATTTCAATACAACATCCACTGCACACTTAAAACTACTATTCATGGTACTGCTACCCTCGCCTTCTCGCCTTTCTGACTCAGTGCAAGTTTACAATATAGGAGCCACTTGGATACTGCCCAGAAGTGAGAATAAATGGTGAAATACTATCAGTTTGAAAGTATGGCTTAAGCTAAGGAATTAATTTCAAAAGATGTCATTCCAACTGTATGAAGTGTTGTTTTGAATCTAAGTTCTAACTCCCTTCCTAATTATATTTCAAAATAGACTTTAGAAAATGTTGTTGCAGTAAGAAGGAAATTTGAGACTTGCTTTTCAGACTACAGTACTATTAATTTATCCAAAGTCCTTCAGGTTTGCAGTTACACAACCGTAATGAACCTGAAGTTGTGCCTCTCAAGAGTCAGCTCTGCCTTGTTTCATTCTAGTAAGACAGACAGACAGACAGCACATACATGCATACACACACACACACACACACAGAGAGAGAGAGAGGGGGGGGGAATATATAAATGCCTGCACTTTTTTCACCAATGAAGTATCACGTTAGCACCTTAAATAAATTGGCTTTAAAACTCCAACCTCTTACACCAGCATATTCACACATTTACCATCACAAGCCATTGACTTTTAACAGTTTACAAGAACTAACGCTTATTCAGTGCAAGATAAATAATGTGACTGATGAACATATCCAAGCTGTATCTTGTTTTCCTTTAAATGTACGTGATCAATCTTTCACTTAGTTCATCAACAGTGACATTTAATCTATCAAAAATGGGTTCTCTCTTCCATTGGTAAGTGAAAGTGATTAATCATGCACTGTGGGTATAAGCAAATAATCCACTTGAGAGGCACTTTAAAGAAGTGGACTCCAAATCCCATCAGCTGCAGCCAGCATGGCATTTGCTCTGGAGTGATGGAGGAGCTGGAGTCACACAAGTGTGGCTGAACTGAAGTACAAGCGCAACGCGACCATTAACGGGATATCAGCCCCTGGAGCTAAAATTTCAGAATGCCAATTCTGCATTGGGTTAAATATATGCTCAAAAGCAGCACCGACAGCTCAATGATCATCTTCCATTGACACTGTAAGCTCCTTTGAATTTTCTGTTTATAACTTGGGTTCAGAGCCCTGGGAGCTAATGAAAAAAATACTTTTTAGTTATATAGGACAGCCAACTCTACCCACACAATAAATCTAGGGTGAGGATCTTGTGGCCTTCTAGATGTTGATGGACTAGAACTCCCATCACCCCTGACTGTTGGCATGATGACTGCAGCCAAAAGGAGCTAGAGCTCAACAGGTTCCCCACCACTGGTCTAAATGACCATCCATGTAGTGTGGCAAAATGGAAAGTATGCAAAACCTGCACCAGAGAATGGCTGTTTGAACTCCTGCTGTGGAATCAAGTTCACTGAACGGCTGCAAGGAAGGTTAGGCTGTACGGAGCAAGGCTGCAGTAACGAGAGAGACAGCTCCCAGTGCGCTGCCCTGAGCTCCCTGGAAGCAGGGTGGGGTGTGTGGGGGAGAAAGAGAAATGTAGGCCTCAAACTAAACAACTCCTGCATTACAATACCTATTTCAGCAGCTAATAATTCTCCCCAAGAGAAAATTCCTAAAAAGTGCAGGCTCCACATATTCAGCACCTCTGTGCACACATGTTCCTTAAAATGCCAGCAGAATGTCTATGTGTCATTTCATGAGGAAGTGAGATTTGTAAGAATGTGATATGGAGAAATGTTCTGTTAGTGCCCTATGACTGGAACTCCTTTCCTGAAGAGACACCCAAAAGACCTTATTTCATTGTTTTTAGAAGATGCAAGGCCTCCCATGATATGAATAGGGTTTATTTACTGTTTTAACTGTAGGTTTGTACAGATTGTTTATATATTAATTTAATAATAATAACCACCAGAACTACCCATAAAAAATGCTTCGTTACTTTTAATAAATACTACTTTGTGTCACTGACAAAAAGTGGAAGAGAACTTTTAAAATAATGAAGGCTATGTTGAAGAGCCATAAGGCACAACCAACTAAACAAAATTCTCCCTCTTAACCATGTGTAGGACTGCCACCAATTTGATATTTTGCTTTGGTATGGGTTATAAAGATCAAATACCTAACACAGGACCACTCTACAAAACAGAAAACCTCAAAATAATGTTTTTAAAAAGAGGCTAAACTTCCTATACAAACTATCCAAATGATTTTGGAAGAACGGGGCAACCAATTACTGAGGCAAACAACAAAAGTAACCATGTTAAGAAAAACAAACTTTTGAGAACAAAACGTAGGTGCTTATTGAACAATTATGGAGTAAACTTGTTGGAAAATGCATTTGGAAATAATCACAAGCTGAATCCAACCTTACATACCATACTTAATCAACACTGTTTCTGCATCCAAAACAATTCAGATGTATTTCTGTATATTTTGATTTAGTTTATTTCGTGACGAACATGAAACGGAACTGATTCCTGTCTGTAAGTCACTGGTATTGCAGAGCTGCTGTACATAGTACAGTGACCTGAATGCAAATCCACTGGCTATCTTATGCAAGAATGGAATATAATATTTCAAAGTACTAGAATCATAGAATCATAGAATCATAGAGTTGGAAGAGACCACAAGGGCCATCGAGTCCAACCCCCTGCCAAGCAGGAAACACCATCAGAGCTTTCCTGACATATGGTTGTCAAGCCTCTGCTTAAAGACCTCCAAAGTAGGAGACTCCACCACACTCCTGGGCAGCAAATTCCACTGTCGAACAGCTCTTACTGTCAGGAAGTTCTTCCTAATGTTTAGGTGGAATCTTCTTTCTTGTAGTTTGGCTCCATTGCTCCGTGTCCGCTTCTCTGGAGCAGCAGAAAACAACCTTTCTCCCTCCTCTATGTGACATCCTTTTATATATTTGAACATGGCTATCATATCACCCCTTAACCTCCTCTTCTCCAGGCTAAACATGCCCAGCTCCCTTAGCCGTTCCTCATAAGGCATCGTTTCCAGGCCTTTGACCATTTTGGTTGCCCTCCTCTGGACACGTTCCAGTTTGTCAGTGTCCTTCTTGAATTGTGGTGCCCAGAACTGGACACAGTACTCCAGGTGAGGTCTGACCAGAGCAGAATACAGTGGCACTATTACTTCCCTTGATCTAGATGCTATACTCCTATTGATGAGGCCCAGAATTGCATTGGCTTTTTTAGCTGCCACGTCACACTGTTGGCTCATGTCAAGTTTGTGGTCAACCAAGACCCCTAGATCCTACTGGTGTAGCCTTTTAAAAAAATATATTACTGCATGTTGTCATTATAAAGAATCTGTTATCATTTAAAGATTTAATTACATAATGGGTTTTTAATCTTATTCTTAACAGCGAAACAGTCTCAGAAGTTATAAATATCTAAGCTACCAACATTTAAGCATTTTATTCCCACTGATTTCAGTGGAAGAGTTGAAATCTCCCATTGAGATAAATGGAAATTAAATGTATTTAGTTGGATTACGTGGCAAGTGATTTGTACAGGATTTTGGGATTCTCTTGTTGGATTTTCCATGTGTCAAAGCATTATTTCACAGGAGACTACATTCATAAGAGCTTCACTCAAGATGGCTATTATTTATTCAATTTATATCCTGCCTTTCCTCCCTAAACAGCCCAGCTCTCTCTCAATAGGTCTCACCCATGGTTTAGCCAAAAGCACAATTAACAGAATCTGAAACCATTTTGTAAGCATAAATATTATTTACACTAATGATACAATTCAGAAAATACTGGCACAATTTTACTGCCAATATATGAAAGCAAATTTTTATTTCTGAAACATAACCACTTTTTAAAATTAGAAGGTACTTTAGCACCTGTTCTTTTGCCGCTATAATGCTTTACTATACAATGCTATGCTGAAATATGTGTTGCAGTCAGCAACTCAATATGCAATTTAATCTAGGTACACTGATCAAGGAAAAATCAAAAGAAAGGTTGACTTGTATGGCAAGGGGGAAAGATTCGTGTGTCTTTATTTGGTTAAAAACGCATCAGAAGTTTTTTTTAAAAAAACAACCCATAATTTAATGAAGACTTCAAACTTCAATGGTTTATTTGCTCATGACATCAAAGAGAAAAAGTGGAATGTATTTCTCAAAGAAATTTCTGAGCTCGAGGAACCAGAGCCAGAAATGTCCTAATGCACAACCTTCCCAAAAAAAACCAACCCACTTCCACAAGTCCCATCAAAATGAGTGCAGATTCCAATTTCTTTCAATAGGGCTTGCACAGGAAAACCTCTGGGAATTATTCATCTGTATGTGATGCCTAGGGCTTTGATTTTCCAGCCTCAGTCAGAAACTACAGTATTTAAGTGTATGATGGAAAGCAGAGCAGATGAAGCCTCTATTTCTTGCAAATGCATGTAAAGGGAGAAAGTTGTCTAGAGTAACTTATTCCTTCTCACTGGGGTTACTGCTGCAATAGTCTATTGCGGACTATTTACAGAAGGGGATGGAGAGAGAAATTATTATCCAATTATAATGTTTGAATCAGTCCTTGATGAACAGTAACGTCACGTTCCATAACTATGTAAATGACCCCCATATGAAATAATTGGAAACCTTAATGTCTGGTATAATTTCAGTGCAAACAAACCATGCATATATAAGAAAGTTTGGTGTCTCACACACTTGCATAATAGACAATAACAATGCAGTCCTTTACATATCTACACAGAAGTCCCCTCAAGCTCACTGGAGCTTAACCCCAGGTAAGTGGAGTTCAATTGCATCCGAAATGAAGCAAAATAGCATCTACTTCCACCTACAGCCTCGCTCCAGGAAATCCTGCTGACAAGGGAAGCCCAATTGCTGTAGTTCATTATGTGCAAACAACTATCTCTGAATCACGCGGGCTGACCATTTGTGCATCCAGTGTTTGCCCAGCTTTATATCAGAGCAACCATGACTAGGGGGAATAAGACAACTTGCTGGCCAGTACAACATTTGTAGTTAGTTGTTTCTATGTATGTTTACAGTGACTTCTCCTTAATACTAATTGCTGCCTTCACAATAGCACTACTTGCCAGATAACAATTGATTGCAATTCATTAAAATGACCCACAAATTATAACACAGTAGCAGATTCAAATAATATGTCATAATCATGTAAAGGCACATATCTTAATCTAATGTGATCATTCAAGCTACAGGTTCCATGATGCTTATTTCAACCTTTATTTCCTTCATTTCAACCTGCAGGCTGTCCAATCTAAAGCGCTTCAAATTGAGGATTATTTTTTTAATGGAAAATATCTGGTTAAAAGAGCTAAAATAATAGTTGCTAACTGCCACCATAACTTTTTAAAATACTGTTAACTCTAGTCATTAAATGTTAGTACAAATACTAAGCTCTACAAAATACATATTTTTCATTTAAACAAATATAGAATTGTGTGTTTAACTCCAAATTACTACATAGCATTTAAATATATTACTAATATAAGCTTTTATTTTGCTGTTGTTCATAATGAAAATTAAAGAATCACTAAAGAATTATTTGATAGGCAACAAATTCAATGTTGAAGAAAATATAATGGCGGGAAGAAAGAAATTAACATATTTTAGGCTACAATATGTAACTATTTAGAAAAGAAACACATGAAAGTTCTTTTTATTACCGAAGTTTAACCAAGCATGAAATGTAGCTATATAAAGTAAGGTTCAACTTAATTACTACCATGCTGCAATCTGTACTGCAATTTGCTAAACCATGGGCAGTGGCTAATTCATAAAATATTCTTTTCACAGCATCAAAGTTGAAAGTTAACTTTAAACTTTTTTTAAATTCTAAAGCCTAAACAAAACCTGAAAGTAATAGACATCACTCTGGAGAACATGATCCACTCTTATCACCGCCATCCTAAACTTATGAAAGTCCTGTAATGCCCATTTCAACATACTTGGGCACAAGAATCAGAAAATTTAAGTATCCTCAATCCACCTACAATCAATGGTACTTAAGAACATACATTTCTTTAGATTGTGTTCTTATGTACAGGCTTTTACAGTACATAATCACAGCAGTGTGTTCTTTCACACTTGGGTTATCAATACAGTTTAAGTGTTCTCCTAAATCTGTGTTCAGCATTTCAAAGGGAAGTGGTAAGGATTAACTGATTAAACACTGTCATAGTGTAGCTGCTGTCAAAAAACCGTATTCTAACGTTACAAACCGTTTACTCTGCAGTAGTCCCATGGATTTCCCTAAGATTCTTCCAACATCTGATTATCTCCAATGAAAACAAAATTCACCATGGTATCATCATAAGCAGTTTGTCTTTCAGAGCTTCTAGATTCTGTTTTTCATCTTTATTATGTTGTTGAAATGGATCATTTAGATTATGAAGAATAAAATACCAAGTACACTTACAGAGCAATTCTGTGCATATTTGCTTAGAAGCAAGTCTGTGTGTGTTCACTAGGGCTTATTCCCTAATAGGTCTGTTTAGGACTGCTACCTTACTTACTTCAACTAAGACTCACTAAAGCTCAAAGTAAACATGCATAGGATCAATCTCAATTCTTGTCATCTGAAGCATATGATCTTGGAAAATCACCCTGGGATCCTATTGGATGGAAATATAATGGGATTTACTTTCCAAGCAAGTGTGTGTTTATGACAGGAGGTACCACTTGTTTTTACCGGAATCTAAAGTTAACACGCAGCTTGTTCCTGCCCTGAAAAGTATTCCTAGACACAAGTTGCAGTATTGCAGCAGCGTGCTGCTCTGCAAAACTGCTCTCCACCCGTCCTCAAGGCACTTTAGGCCAAGCCCTACTGACTTACGAGAAAACTCCGTCGAAAAGGGAAGGAGCAAGTGCAACGTCTTAAGCAGGGGAAGATTCGCCGGTGTGGGGGGCACCCAAAGCACACGGACTCCTCATCTGTCCGGCTGAAAGCCTTGCCTTCAATCGAGAGCTGCCTGCAGCCGGTTCTGAAGCAAGTGGATTTTAGGCGCCACTCCTACTCCTCCTACTCAGGAAGGAACAAGGGAGGGGAGCATTCCGCCTGCGGGAAGCTGCAGCCCAAGGAGGTGTGTCCTCTCACGCTCCTGTCAAATATACAGCAAAGCGATACCAAACCACACACGGAACACTCCGGCCCAAAATGCACGGCGACGGGGGAGGGGCGGCAGCGGCCAAAAAGGAGGAGATCTAGCTGGATCTCTGGGCGGTCAGTTCCGTGAACCCAGGAAAGGTGTCCTCCGCCGCCGCCTCCCATGTTTCCCCAGCCCCGCAAGCGCTAATCCTCCCTTCTGAGTTCTGCCCTACTTCTGCTCCAAGTTGAAACGCCTGTGCGCCTTGTTTCTGGATTTCTACGCGCGCAGGATTCAAACGCGCCAGCTGCGGAGGCTCAACTCCGGCGGCCAGGCTGTTTCTCTCCCCCCCCCCTTATTATTATTTTTAAGTCAACCGCCAAAAAAGAGCGGGAAGGAGGAGAGAAACCACACCATCGCAAGAGCAGGAGCGCCCATCCCCGAAATCTAGGGGGCCTTCCAGGGAGCGGGAGGGAAAAAGAGACAGAGAGAAACCTGCCATGCCCCGGGCTAAACACAAGGTTAGCTCCCCTTCCAAGATCTCCCACCTCCTCCTCCGCCTCTCCCTCAAGAGGAATGCAATTTCCCCCTCCCTCCCCTCGGCCTTTTGATCGCAAGGAAGGTGGACGTGAAAGGTTTCGGAAGAGGGAGCGGGGGGGGGGAGGGAAGGTCCCGCTTCGGCGGAGATAAAAACTCTCTAGCGCGCTCCGAACGCGGCAGGCGCGCAAAAACTAAAATAACAAGGAGACGGGGAGAGAGCGCGCGCTCAGCGCCAAACTGCACGGAGAGGGACGGCGCAGCGACACAAACGGTGTGCATGGGGGGGGGGGGACGACTGGAGCCAGCGGGATGGGAGAGCCGCTTCCCTCCTCAGCCGAACCCGCCTTGCGGGCTTCTGGGCTAGCGAGCGACCGGCACCCACCGGGCAGCCAACCGCGTCCCTTTCTGCACGCGCGCGCTCTCCGGAAGGCGGGCGGCAACTGCTGCGCCACGGCCGCCGCCGCCGCCGCTTCCCCTTGCACTGCCCGCGCTTCAGCGTGCGGGACCCGGGAGACGCCGCAGCGAGGAGAGGAGGAGGAGGCAGCAAAGGGGGAGGAGGCGGCGGCTCCGGCTTCGCCTCCTTTCCTCCCTCGCAAGGCTCCTCGGCAGCCCCGGCGCGAGGCAGAACCCCGGGCCCGGGAGCCGGCGGCCGGCCGGCACTCACCGAAGGGAAGGGACCCGGCGCCCCCTCGGCGCGCCGGCGACGCGGCTCGCGTGTCTGTCAGCTGCGCGGCTGCTGCCCCCGTCGCTTGGATTCACGCCGCCTCCGCCTCCGCCATGTTCCTGGGGCGCCGCGCATGCCCGGCAGCGGCACTGGGGGCTTCCCTCCGCCTTCGCGTCCTCCCTTCGCAGCCCACTGACAAGGGGGCGGAGGGCGCGGGCGGCGGCTCACCCACCGCCTCCGCCGCTACCACCATGCTGCGGACCCGGCTCGGAGTCGGAGGGGGGCTGTGCGCTGGCTCTCCACGCCCACGCCAGGCGGCTCCTGTGCACTTGCTGCTCCTCAGAGCGCGCGCAAACGCCCGCGCGGGCGCAGAAAGAGCGCGCGCAGTGCCGCCCAGGCGAGCCAGGAGCTGGCGGGGCCGACCCTCTCGCGAAACAACGTTTTAAACATACGTTTTCTGTTAGCACGAGTAACAGATCATTTATGAAAATGCAGGGCAAAATATATATTTTTAATAAACCAATATACCAAACAGTTACACTTAAAACCTGCTAACAGATCACCTTGGAAGCTGGGGAGAGAGTTTCGTAAAACGGGTGCAATTCCTTTCTGTTTAGTTCTCCAAAAAAGTTTGGGAGCAATTCCTCCACCCCCCCCACTTTATCTTAATTTCACTACCTTTTCCAGTGGTTCCATGCAGATGTCAGAACAGTATGCTCTGTATGTGCCACATAAAAGCATGTGTACAAAATTGAAGCAAAATGTTTCTGTTCAATGGAATACATATGTTTCTCTGGACGCATACATTTTCTATTATCAAAGTTTGATTTTGTGGCTTTATGCTGGAATTGAAGCAATAGTTTCCTGCAAAAGTAGCATGATAATGTCCCCACCAATTACAGCTGTTGTGAATTATCACTGTGCTTATCTTGGGTAAATTTAAGCTCTGTGTGGAATTATTTTACAGGGTACTTTTAATTGCCATGGCCCAAGAGTATTAGTGGAGAGAGAAGATAAAACCCTGATTCTGATATAGTGGATCCCAGTCTGCAAATTATTATGCAGGAAAAAAGTACAAGACTTATCTTTAGCAAAATCAAGAAAATAGACTGAACACGGCTACCACTCTGACAATTGTTATACGCAGAGTCTCTAGTAATCATCAAATATAATCTAAATAATACTGCACATGAATGCATGTGGAAGTATCCTCCGTCAAGCCACCTTCTTTTTTCAGTTCCTACTATCCCTAGTTGCTTCCTAATAATTCCTTCTTCCTCATCTGCACTATTCTTTATCAAGCTCTATCCTCTTTCTTCAGCTTTTTCGCTGCTGTGATATTAAGCATATGCACTTTGAAGTACGTAAATTCAGCCTGAATCAATTGTGCCTTGAGGATGTGTACGAAACCGTCGCTGCAAAGAAGGTGCTTTGAACAGGGACAGTATTCCTATGACATTTTTTGGGGGGGGGGAATTAACACATTTGTAGCCTTCCTTTTCCCCAGGGAGATTTGTATAATGACATCTCACTTTATCCTGAAATCAACCTGGTGAGGTATGTTAGACCCAAGAGGTAGTGGCTGTCCAATAAATAGTGGCTGGCAGAGCTTCATGATACATTGGTATCGAAATGATACACTGAAATTAAAAAATGGCACATTCAATCTCCCCATAGACCCCCACAGCTATGCTACCCACACTTTCATTGTACAAAATTAATTATTTTCAAAAATGGGAAGAAAGGGCCTTTATGCATTAACATATTTTTATGAAGAAGCAGCTCCTTAACAGGACCTAAAGTAAAAACCTGATGTGTTAACCACTACTTGGATTTTTATATACATATTTTTATTAGTAATGTACTGTTTTATACTGTACTGATATTTGTATACCAAAAAATGGAATTAAACATTCTTTGGGGAGGGGTTAATGAGAGAGTAAAGACTACTGGTCTTTCAGAAGCAAGTTAAGGCCATTTTATTTAAACACCTTTGAGAGAGTAACTTTAATTTGGCTTGTGTTCTTGTGGAAGAGGCTTTTTTAGTGGTTCCAATGGACATTAATATAGTTGGACACTTAATACAGTTATTGTTTTTAGATATTTTAACTATTATGGGTGGGCCCATTTGGGGGCAGGAAGGTGGGACTGAAATTATTCATGTAATTAAATGCACTTCAAGTAAACTGACTTTTCAGGTGTTAGTAAGAATGGGTGGCATTAAGTAAGAGAGAGGCTCTTATCAAATAGCCCCATGCCTGTTCTAGACAGGACCTGTGGGCAAGTTAACACCTGATTCATTTATTTTTATTGTAGCAGATTCTTTACCTCTCTACTATGTATGGATAGGTGAATCTGTTGATGTCAGTTTCCAATCTTGAAATCAGTTCTCCCCATTAAAAGACCCGTTTGCAATTTTCTTAAATTTTCTTAAACCCAGGCAGAAGTCCTGTACACACACGTTTTGCTGGGAATTCATCATTGGCTGCAGTGGGATTTACTTTGGAGTAGATATGCTTAAGACTGTGCAAGTCTTCCAGGTGCAACCTGTCTTTCGTTGGGGATGATTAACTAGCATCAGAGGAAGTTTCCCTCTGGTCCAAATAAATCTCTGTCCCAAGGACTCTGTTAGCTTCAAAGTGGTCAAAGACACTTAAAAGCTTGTAACATTTTGGAGGTGAGATCAGGGTAGGAGAATACATGCTGCAATCCCATCCTTCAGGCTGCCATAAAACTGTTAGAAGATTGATCAAGACCACTTTCCAGAACTTCGTGTTCTTTCTGTTGTCTCCCTTAACTTTCTGGAGGACAATTCAGATGCTCAAGTTGTTTTGCATGCGTTTCCCCCTCTTTCCTTTTCTAATTTCCAAACTGTTTCCCAGAAAACAGGTGTGGGGTCATTTGTATTAAAACAAACAGGTAGAAACCTACCACAATTTGTTGCAGTGTGTCCCCAGCCTCTGAAATGAGTGGTTCTAGAGCTCCAGCCAGTCTGGAACATGAGCTTTGTCATGCTGTGTGAGACTATAGGGTGGGAAGTTTCAGAAGGTAGGGAGCACGATGAGGACGGACATTAAAACTTTCCCTACTCTATGCTATGAAATATCAATAGGCTCAGTAAGGATGGACAATAAATTAAATTCAGTTCCCATTTACAGGCAAACCTACCTAATTCACACTGTCTGAAACAATGCACAAACTGAAATGCAGCCATCCTTCAAAAATTGCCCTTCTCTGAATTTTGCATTGTGGTCCTCTAGCTAATTAAGATGTGCAGCAATGTATATAATAGGAGAAAGTGTGCATGTTGTTGTTGTTTTAAAAAATATATTAGTGATAATAACACACAAAAATGCACATTAGGGGAACTTGCCTTTCAAAAATTTGTTATGAGGAAAAGTGCAAACAAAAATGTGTATATTATAAGAAGTTCACATCAAAATGCTGATGAATGTGAAATATGTAGAAATGAAGATGAGAAAAATGAGAAATTTAAAATGAGGGAAACTGAAATTGGCAGATTTACCAATCCATAGGCTCAGGACTCCCTGCAAGTCTCAATCATGAGTTCCTATTGCTATATAGTGTGATGCAGGGGAAGTTGCTAGCAAGTGGGAAAGGCAAAAGTACCGGTACTTTCCCCCTCCTCTCCTTCTGAAACCTCCATATAGTGCAATGCTCCTTTCCAGGGCTCCAGTCA